TGAGATGACAGTACAACAATCTATCTATACAAATGCATGTAACTCCCTACTCCCATGGTCAGCTTGGGTCTCTGCCCTGATTATATTTCTTCTTTTTTTACTGCGTGGGAGTAAAATGATGATATTCTGTTTGTTGTATTGCGAGCCATGGAACAAGTTCTGTATTATTGCCACTATGCATGAGCAGGGGCGGACTGACAACTCATGGGGCCCCCGGGCAATAGGGGATCATGGGGCCCCTGTGTCCTTGCCCAAACTCAAAAAAGCCTATGAAAAAGGTACCAGGGGCATCTCATGGGGCCCCTACTGACCCTGTGCCCTTGGGCAATGCCCAAGTTTCCAAATGGTCAGTCCGCCCCTGTGCATGAGGCACAATGTCCTGATGGCTTGTTCTTCTGTTTGAAAATTTAATAAAACTTTCTTCTTTAAAACAAAAAAAAAAAAGAAAACTAATACAGAGGAGGCGTTTGGCAAAGTTATTTAATGCAACACAAATACGTCTAAAACAAATCAAAAACACTTCTTAATGTGACAGGTCTTGTTAATAGACATTCATGGTATCTAAAATTTCAAATCACGTCTAAACGAACCCTTAGACTGGGTTCACATATGTGCGTGCACATTTGAATGGGCTGCTGTACCCATGAGAATCGCAGGGATAGAAGTCTCTGACCCATTTTAAGGAAAGTGCCACATGGAACCACATGATGCTGCAGCACCATGCAGTTTTGCACGTGCAAAAACACAAGTGGGTGCCAATAAGAATTAATGGCACCTGTGCACAACTGATAAAGAGAAGTGCATTTCTCAGCTGGTCAGGAAACACACGCAATTAGTTGTTCCTGATCTGCTCATATGTGACCCTAGCCTTACTGTTAGCCTGTAGAAATATTTAAACAGTTTAAGCACTTGCCGACCGCAGATAGATGAATGACGGCTTCACCGCGGCCAGCCAGTTCTGGGAGGGCGTCATATGACATCCTACCGTGATCGCGCTCCCCGCGCACCCCTGGCAGCGCACATTGGGAACTGTAAGTGATGGCTGTGTCCCTCGGATACAGCACATCACGAAGAGGGGGTGAACGGCCAATTACAGCAGCTGTTTACATTTGTGATCGCTTGTCTTTGGACAGAGCGATCACAAATGTAAACATAGCAGGGTCATGGCTGCGTTTTATCTCTCCTTTCCTCACACCAATACCGAGTGCGAGGAAAGGAGAGAGAATCGGTTCCTAAACTGTGAGTGTGCTCATCAGTGCCCATCTGTGCTCATCAGTGCCCGCCAGTGAGTGTATATCAGTGCTCATCGGTGCCCAACTGTGCTCATCAGTGAGTGCATATAAGTGCCGTTAGTGCCCATCTGTGCCCACCAGTGAGTGCCCATCTGTGCTCATCAGTACCCGCCAGTGAGTGCATATCAGTGCCCACCAGTGAGTGCCCATCTGTGTGCATTAGTACCCATCTGTGCATATCAGTGCTCTTCGGTGCCCATCTGTGCATTTCAGTGCTCTTCAGTGCCCATCTGTGCATATCAGTGCCCATCTGTGTACATCAGTGCCCAGCTGTGCATATCAGTGCACACCTGTGCATATTGGTGCTCATCAGTGCCCATCAGTGTCCCCAGTGCTGCCTTATCACTGCAGCTTATCGGTGCTCATCAGTGCTGCCTCATCACTGCAACAATTATCAGTGCACATCAGTTACCATCAGTGCTACCTACTTACTGCAGCTTATCAGTGTACATCAGTGCCACTTATTCGTACACATCAGTGCCACCCTATCAGTGGATCCTTATTAGCACCCATCATATCAGTGGCAGTTTATCAGTGCAATCTCAGTGCAGTGCATTATTGCACATCAGTGCAACCTCATCACTTCTGATCAGCACCCATCAGTGCACCCCCATCAGCGCATCCTCGTCAGCACCCAGCAGTGCACTCCCATCAGCACCCACAAGTGCAGCCTCATCAGCACCCATATGTGCATTTTGTGTAAAAAAAAAAAAAAAAAAGTTTTCATTTTCTTTCCACATATTTCAAAAACTTGTGAAACAAAAACGACATGTTCAAAAGACTCATTATGCCTCATAGAATATATGTTGGGGTGTTTGCTTCTCAAAATGGGGTCATTTTGTGGGTAATTCCATTGTCCTGGTGCTTCAGGGCCTTCAGAAGTGTAACAGATAGTCAAGATATTAGATGTGTAATTTATGTCCCTAGCACACCTGATAGTGCTCCTGTATTGGGCCTCTCTATGTGGTCAGGCTGTGGCAGTCTTACACATGTGGTGCATACTCTCAGTAGCAGAATGTATTTTGGATTGTATTTTGTGGTATTTACATGTTATGTGTTAGAAATATCTTCCAAAATGGACAACTTTGTGTTAAAAAAAAAAAAAGAAGTTTTCTTTCTTTTTCCACATTTTCTGAAAACTTGTGGAAAAAAAAAAACGACATGTTCAAAAGACTCAATATGCCTCATTAAAAATACGTTGGAGTGTTTGCTTTCCAAAACTGGGTCATTTTGTGGGTGTTTCCTCTGTCCTGGTGCTCCAGGGCCTTCAAAAGTGTGATAGGTTGTCAGAAAATTAGATGTGTAATTTTTGCCTCTAGAACGCCCAAAGGTGTTACTTGGGTGTGTAGGTCTGTATATGGCCAGGCTTGGAAAAGTCTCACACATTTGGTATTGCCATCACTCAGGAGAGGTAGCAGAATGTATTTGTGGGGGGGGGGGGGTTGGTATTTATGTGCTATGTGTTAAAAATATCTTATAAATGGACAACTTTGTGTAAAAGACAATACGTTTTTCATTTTCTTCCCGCATATTCCGAAAACTTTTGGAAACAAAAACGACATGTTCAAAAGACTCATTATGCTCATCACGGAATATATGTTGGGGTGTTTGCTTCTCAAAATGGGGTCATTTTGTGGGTAATTCCATTGTCCTGGTGCTTCAGGGCCTTCAGAAGTGTAACAGGTAGTCAAGATGTTCGATGTGTAATTTATGTCCCTAGAACACATGAGGGTGCTCCTTGCATGTTTTGGGACTCTCTATCGACATAGAGAGTCTCACACATTTGGTATCATTATATTCAGGAGGAGTAGCAGAAAGTATTCTGGGGTGTAGTTGCAAGTATGTCAGTGCTGTGTGTGAGAAATAACTTGTTAATATATCAATTTTTGTGGGGGGGCGTAAATAAATAAAAACTTCATTTTCCAAAGAATTGTGGGAAAAAATTACAACTTCAAAAAAACTCACCATGCCTCTTACTAAATACTTTGGAATGTCTACTTTCCAAAAAGGGGTCATTTAGGGGGTATTTGTACTGTTCCGGCTTGTTAGGGCCCCAAGAATTCAGATAGGCCATCGGTACATCAGGTGTGATCAATTTTCAATGATTGGTCCCATAGCTTGTAGACTCTATAGCTTTCAAACAGACCAAATAATATGCACTGATTCATGGTATTTTTACCACAGAAATGTAGCAGTATAAATTGTGGTAAAAATTTATGAGAAAAAATTACTTTTTTGCAAATTTTAATAGCAGAAACTAAGAAAAACACATTTTTTTTTCAACATTTTTGTTCTTTTTTTCGTTTATAGTGCAAAAAAAAAAAAAAAAAAACAGTGGTGATTAAATACCACCAAAAGAAAACTATTTGTGTGAAAGAAGGATGAAAATCTTATATGGGTACAGTGTTGCATGACTGAGAGTAATTGTCATTCAAAGTGTGAGAGCGCTGAAAGCTGAAAATTGGCCTGGGCAGGAAGGGGGTATAAGTGCGCTGTAGGCATGTGGTTAATCCGCAACCTGTTTCCACCCACGTAACATATACTGTATGTGCATTAATACCCACACCTGCACATGTTTGTTACTGGGAATCCATTGTTCCTCTGCGGAGAGTTCGCACTCATTTTATTTATTTATTTCAGGTACTTATATAGCGCCGTCAATTTACGCAGCGCTTTACATATATATTGTACATTCACATCAGTCCCTAACCCTCAAGAGGTGTACAATCTAAGGTCCCTAACTTACATTCATTCATACACATACTAGGGCAAATTTAGACAGGATCCAATTAATTTACTAGCATGTCTTTGGAGTGTGGGAGGAAACCGAAGTATCCGGAGGAAACCCACGTAGGCACAGGGAGAACATGCAAACTCCAGCAGGTGGTGCTGTGGTTGGGATTCGAACCAATGACCCTAGTGCTACCAGGCAGAAGTGCTAACCATTTAGCCACTGTGCTGCCCACATGGCGCACAGACCGAGCTGTGAAAGACAGCTCTTAGTTCACACTAATGATCTGTAGCTGGCAGGACCAGATCCCGAATCTGTGACCACTGTGATAACCAATCACAGTGGTCACATGATTGCTGATCCTTTCCACCCCCCCGACGATACAGACTTATTAAAGGGATGCTGAGGGTGGGAAGAGATTAAGCAAAAAAAAAATGCAAAAAAAAAAAAAAAGTATTATGCGTACTAACACTGTAAATATTATTCTTTGTTTATAAAGTGCAATCATATTACAAGGTACTGTTCATCATATGCTTGAAACAAAAAATAGAAAGACTGGGCTTAGGAGGAGCCTGCTTGAAGGAGCTTACAAACAAATGGACGGGGGAAAGACACAAAAGGCTTATCTGAAGTCTGAAGCAATCTAAAGTGCACCCATTGTGTAACACAAATAATTACCAGCATTTTACCATCATAAAATAGTGTTTTCATCCTTTTTTTTCATTCTTTATTGCATCAGCCTCCTACAGCCACTACCTGTCTACATGTACTTGCTCTAGTGCTGGCTGCACCTTACTGCTCAGGTGCAGCTTCTCAAGAGTGACCATGATATTTCTATGTATGTATTTTCTTTTCTAGATGGATGGGCCTTGAAAAACAATATCTCAATAAATAGGCATCAAAACATTCAGGACCGCCTGGTTGCAGCCAAACGTCTGCTTGAGGAGCTGCCTTCTTGTCCTGTGGTGTTAGACACTATGGAAAACTTGTGCAGTGCCAAGTACGCTGCCCTCCCTGAGAGGCTTTACATTCTGCAAGAGGGCAAAATCATTTATAAGGTAATATATGACAGTACATTATAGTGTCAAATCAAAGCTTGATTCTCTGGGTTAGATAGTGAGCATTTTGTGTTGTTGACTTTATTTGCAGTGGCTGCATCCGTTTTCACATTTCCGGTTAAAACTGAAGTGTAGGTATAGACTATTCTGCGTAATTAAAATGTACATTACATCCAGTTTTATTATTATTATACAGGATTTATATAGCACAAACAGTTTGCGCAGCGCTTTACAATATAAGGGAGACAGTACAATTACAATACATTTCAGTACAGACGGAATATGAGGGCCCTGCTCATGGAGCTTACAATCTAAAGGAAGGGGGAGGTGATACAAAAGGTGATAGCTGCAGGGGACGATCTGGAGGAGTTTTAGGCCCGGTTCAAACTAGTGCGGGACGTGTGCCCCGCATTTGCATGGGCACAGCAGCCCATTCATTTGAATGGGCTACTGTGCCCAAATTTCACACAAGGAAAAAGATGCATGCACCTTTTCCAAAATGAATCCGCATGGAAATTGTTCTCTGTGCGGGTCCCACACCCCCGATCACACTGCAGGATGAGATGGGTAGGGGGTACCATTCATTTTGAATGGAACCCCCCCGTGTCTTGCAAAAGAAACGTGATGCGGCTGCAGGTGGTTACGGGTGCAGGAACAGGTGCGATTCCTGCACCCGCAACCAGTCTGCAGCCACAGGCAAATGTGAACCAGGGGTCATATAACTAATAGTATGATAAAAAGAAATGCAGACAGTTAAACGTTTGCGGTGTATCATTAGTGATCAGGGGGGAAATGACTGCTTACATTGGTAGTAAGCAGAAAATGTTCCCTTTTTGGTGATTACTGTAGGTGGGAGATCAATTAACCACTGTTCTCTGTTCAAGTAACCCCTAGCAACCTCACAAAGAACCCTACAATTTCATAGAACCCTTAATGAGAAAGACTGGTTTAGGATGTTAAATCTACCATCTAAAATAACAATGGTGCCTTCAAGTGTCTGTGTCTATCAAATTTTAGGAGTATGAAGTTCAGTGGCTACCTACTTATGTTCCATATCAATGACTTATTATTGTAGTTAGACATTAGCATGAAATTCAAGCAACTAGAATTTCTGGGAAAAAGTCACCAATAGGAGCCTACAGTATTTCGCTCTTGATAGGTTTCCTTATATGAAAAGATATATTCAGAATATATTTTTTTTCCACTACAATACAGCCCTCTAAATACCATCTAATATACAGTAGGAAACTAAAACTCATACTTATAGAGTTCTATAATATGAATACATACATACAAAGACATTATTACTAATATAGTGCATAAATGTGACCACATGAAAACAGTCCTACAAATATTGTATATGAAAGTGTTGCATTGGTTTATTCTCATCTGGAGATGGTTCTGATGGCATCCTATGATGAAAATATGTTGGGTGGAGCAAGGCATAAGTGCCAAAATCACGGCATGACACTCTTCACAGCAAACAGTCCATAATACCTAAAGTACTTGAAAAACCAGAAAAAGTGATTTCATTTTTACTTTCCATTGTCTGTGAATTTACCATTGACCGCACCTGATCCTCAATATGCACCCCTAGCACCAGTACACTCCTTCAATGTGTGTTTTTTTAGATCACTTGTATGTATTGGTTTATTCTCATCTGGAGCTGCGCACCTCCAGCTCTTCTGGTCCATGCATGTGCTTCAGTGGTATGGAATGATGTCATGATGCCTTGCTTTGCTCAATGCATTTCATCATAGGATGTCATCATGTCAGCTCCGGATGCCGTTCTATGACTAAGTCTAGGTTCACACCTATGCATTTTCTGTCGTGTTTCGCAGAAATGCACAGCAGTCCATTTAACATGATTTCCTATGGGATAGGTTCACATCTCCGCGCTTTCACCCGATGTGTTTTTTGGAAAGGGTCAGGGACTTTTTTAAACGCCAAACCTTGTGTTTTTGGGTCTATAGACTTCAATGGAGACGCTGAAGAAAAAAAGCTAGTACATTTTTGATGTGTTTGTGACACGTTTTTGTGTTTTTATCTGCCCAGCAACAAGTTGGGGAAAAAAAACGCAAAAACGCATAAAAAAATGCATAAAAACGCATGTGCAAAAATGCAACACACACCGCAAAAAGCACTGCAGAAAGGGATCAAACGCAAACTTCATAGGTGTGAACCTAGCCTTATCCAGATGAGAATAGGCCAAATACTACACTTTCATACACAATATTTGTGCAATTGTTTTTATGTAGTCACATTTAAGCACTGTACTATTAATATTTTGTTTATTTGAATGTATCCATATTAGAAAAATGTACATATTAGCACGTAGAGCACTTTTAGTAGGGTGTGATTTACAATATAAATGAGGTATACTTTATTGAATAGGGTTTAGTTACATATATTAAATGGTATCCAGAATACTGTATGGTAATGAAAAACACCATAGAAGACCTACCCCCTCTCTGCGGACATGACATGGTGCCATCTGCTGAACCTGCAAAACTCCATCCTTGCACTAAGCCCCATTCTTTCTCTCAATATGTCATGGCAGGTATTCACATAGGTCCCACCATGTCAAGTGTGGTGGAAGTGAACTGCCATTCTTACAGACCAATGTTAGGAATGCTAGTTCAGAACTGCGCACAAAACTGTTGTTTCTAAGAGATTCCTTACACAACTTCTGGTATTAATATGGTAAACATGACTGTTCATGTAACTAAAGTTATATAATGTGCTTAATGGATTGTGTAACCTGATTAATGCAAATTATTTAATGCATTCATTACAGGGCAACATGGGTCCCTGGGGCTACAAACCAGAAGAAGTGCGTTCTGTTCTTGAGAATAAGACACTTTCTGGGTGTCATCTCCAATTCAACAGTCACAGAAGAAAAGCTCAGCACTAACGAGAGACCAGCCATGAATTCTCTAACAATAATAGACACTCTGTAATAAAAGGAAACGGTATGTGGTACCCTGCTGCTGAAAACAAGACATTTCTGTTGGGTGTTACTCCCAACCATACACTGACAGAAGAATAAAATCACAACCAGGTTTATTGAGCAGCCAGCCCAGCCATGAATTACCCATTCAAGTATGTTAACATGACCTAATATTTAAAGGCTAATTCTACCCTTCTGACATTGTTTCATGTTACACCCAATATTTAGAGTTTAACATGAAACATGGTGCCATTTGACAGACCTCCCCATTCTCAAACTGCCCCCCTCCCACCCTCACTTGAATCGTAGGGTGATTCTCCTGCTGGCTTCTGCCTATTTTTTCATGATTTTTTTGGCATTGCTGTGCATGGCTCCATCTACAAAGCTGCAGTCTCCCCATCACAGATAAGTTCCAGTTGATCTATGGATTTATAGATCACAATGGAGATGCAGTGACCTCACTGTACTTGTAGTCAATTCTATACTTCCTCCAGCTCCATAACTGAAGGTCTGTACTTCCATCCAGACCTGGGATTGGAGGATGAGTTTGCAGGAGCCTATGCATCACACCCATGATTCACTGATCATGGTCTGCAATGCAAACAATTAATAAATTAGCACTTTTTGAGAAGTATTATGTGTTCCTCCCATTTCGAGACGTACTGGTTTTTTTTTAGAAGTCTTGCAGCACATTAGGGCAGAAGGGGGAAGTATAAAATTCCACTATTAAGCAAACCTGTTATTTTGGCAACTACAAGCAACGTACATGTTTGCTTTAAATATTGACATAAAACTGTTATAGCAGGCACAGCAGAATGGATAAAGGATAACGAACAGGCACTTGTTTGAAGGCCTCAGGCTTTGGTCATATATACTCTGATGAAGAAGGAACTATCAGGTTTGAAGACTGAAGATCTGCCTCCAGACATGTTCTAGCCCTGGATGGAACCTGGACCAGCATGTCTTCTCTATTTATTCATCCCAGCATAAATGGTCACAGCTTTATGTCTACATTTGAGTATGGGCCCACTATGGGTTGAAAGGAAACAGTATACATTGTCTACAGCAACCAATCAAATTCCACTCTTGTGTAATGCAGGCCGGGTGAAAATAATGAACGCTAACCACTTATTGGTTAGTATAGGCAATATCTCCATGCTTCTCCTCATGCAGATTTTATAAATGAATTCTGAAATAATATTAATGCCTGTTTTAATTTTGTCTCAGTCAAAGCTCTGCACTCAGACTCACGCTCCACAATGTATTTGTTTGTGAAGGTTGTGGCTTAAAGCCTTGCTGGCCTCAGCCTGATAGTGCAGATAATTGAGGTTGATGTGAGTTCTGGGAACAAATAAAATAAAATATTAAATGAGTGTTTTAAACAATTATTTAAAGCTTAATTCAGGGAACATATTAAAAAAAAAATTATGCAGTACATTATTATTAATATACAGGATTTATATAGCGCCAACAGTTTGCTCAGCGCTTTACAATATAACAGGAGACAATACAGTTCAATACAAGAGGGAAAGGAGGGCCCTGCTCCTTGGAGCTTACAATCTAGGACATCTCTGCAATGCAAGCAGATTTCCCCAAGTTTTACCCCTTTAACTATTTTGCTGCCATGGGAATAAAGGTGGCCATAGACAGATCGAAATTCAGCCACTTCAGCAGGGACAAGATGAATTTCAAACCATGTGTGGCCTCTGTCACTCGTGAGAATTAGATCTATCAATTAGTTTCTGTTGTACGGACCTGTAGGGAGAAAAAAAAAAACATTCAATTATTGGCTGCAGCACTGATTTGTGTAGGAGTCCCCTTGGTGTCAGAATACAGTAGCACAGGGGGGAAGGATTCCCCCCATCCACTCAAATGTGTGGATTGGGGAATCTGTTCAGTTTTTTGGTACAATAATTTTTATTGTTGCAGCAAAAATATATCATACAGTAGATCACCCACACAGGGGAAATGCAACAATAAATGTGTCAATTAGGCATGAGCAGAATAGTTCAGTTTTCTTCATTCAGCCCGTGGGCTGAACTAAAAAAAACAGGATTGTTGTTACTCACTGTAAAATCCCTTTCTCTGAGTTCATTGAAGGACACAGCTCTTCTGATTCTTGACCACGGGGTTATATCCGAACCTACAGGAGTAGAACACTAGGCAGAAAAAGAACACAGCACCACCTATGGGCAGACCTCCTCTCTGCTATAGGCAAGCCAGTTAGTTACAAAGCGGTGTCAGAGGTATAAACACATTTTAGAGGTGCATGCTGTGTCTGTCAATGAACTCAGAGAAAGACATGTCAACAAGATTTAGCAAAGGTATGCACAGACAACCAATAGCCACCTGCCAACCCGAGATCCATACTCCTAAGGAAGGAATGCCCGGGAGGCGTGAAGTGCCCTGGTGGAGCATGCCATAACAGAAAGGGAGGAGCCCGACCCTAAATGGCATATGCCTACACAAACATCAGTTGAATCCAACAGGAGACAGCGACAGAGGAGGCCCCTAGGCCTATATTGGGCCCATCTGTGAGTGCAAAAAAAAAAAAAAAAAGAAGACAACTTCTGAAAAGACGCAGTAGCAGACAGGTACCTAAGAAATGTCCAGACCACATCCGAGGAGATCAACGCAACCTCCTTAGGAGGTGTGGGCCATGGACAGGAAGGCATACAAGATAAGGCCACCAGCATCGACCACCCCCGGGTGGTAATGATGGCGACCAAGAAGGCAACTTATTGAGAAAAAGTGAATCAGGGAATATCCTGAAGACTTCCAAGGGAGGCTTCTGGAGGACTGAAGGCTCAAAATCAAGCCCCATGGCAGCAACAGGGAATGCACTGAAGGCGCCACATGACAAACCTTCAGGATAAAGGCGCATTTCAAGAACTGCATTGCCAACACTGAAAAAGGACAGTAAGGGCAGAGACCTGCCCCTTAATGGTTCTTAAAGGAGACGTACTCTGTGGTTCATTCTGCACTCCTGTGACCAATTTTCAGCTTAAGCCCGCTGTTGGCTGACGTCACTCAGCCAGTCCAAGCTGGTGAAAGAACCTGACTTTAAAGTCGGGATCCACCTCAGAGTCTGGAGCAGCACCTAACTCAGTCTGTCAGCAATCTGCTGAGAGCCTAAGCCAGCCACTCCTTCAACAGCTCAGCACTCCAGTAAGCATGGGGGGCAGAGCAGAGTGGTGACTGACAGTCATCGCTTCTGCTCAGCGGTCATGTGGTTGCTGCGTTCTCACATTCAGAGCGGCAGGGGATGGAGGCCAAGGAGGGATACTGTCACTGGTGAAGGAGAACTGCACGCAGGCACTTGCAGTCTGGCGTCCCATCAGCGACACCCCATACCACATGGGGCTGGGGAAGGGGGGGTACTAGGGGAATAGGTTACCCACACCAATCCACCCCAAAGAGGAAGGGGGAGAGGGGGGTAGAAGAGACAGACCCTGGAGGGGAGGAGGAGAACCCCATAGGGACCAACCACCCCAGGGAGGACTCATGCCCCATGCATGCATGAGAAAGGAAGGGGAGCATTTACTTACCAATCCACGTAGGGTGCAGGTAACACTCCTGATACAGATCCACCTCACCACCAAAGTGGGGGGGCTGTCGGCCAGGGTAACACTGTAACACAGACTATAGGCGCCCAGTCATATGTGTCCCTGTGGAACGTTTAACTTACTGGCTGCCTCAATCCAGAATAGGGCTTGTCGCTGCCAACCTAGTACTGGGCTAAAGGTCTGCACATGCTCGCTGGCCAGACTGGGGTGACCACTAGATCTAGATTATCCAGGCCATCGCTCTATCCGGCTGTCGATTGAAGATCTCTGCAGAAAAAAATAGCAGGAAAAAAAAAGGCTATGGAACCACAGGTCCCAGCAGGGAACCAGGTCCTTACTCCTGAATTACTAGGCAGAATTAACTGGCTTGCCTATAGCAGAGAGGGGGGTTATACCAGCAAGGACTGCCCATAGTCGTGTAGGTGGTGATATAATCCCATGGTCGAGAATCAGAAGAGCTGTGTCTGTCATTGAATGCAAGAGAAAAAAACTGAGCATGTATGGGCAGCTTAAGGGTTAAGGCAGAAAACTACTGCTTCTGACAGGCCAGCTCAGGAACCCTAACTGCTGCTGCATTCCCTGTAGGTTCAGGGTCGAGGTTCAAGGTTCAGTGACCATAAACTTGTAGAAGAAGGGTCCCGTAGGCTCAGCTAATTAATAAATAGCTGTGATCAATGCTCTCAATAAATGCCCGCTTTGTTGTTATTTTTAAACACTTTCAAAGCTGGGTTTCTTTCACTCAGGTAGCCGGGGGACGGTAAAAACAGGCAGCTTATCCACATTTTTATGAACCCCCTGACCACCGACCTACAAGCGGACATGCATTCAGAGGAAATTGTACACATGCTGCAGCAAATTTAACTCACCATGCTGTTTGTTTTTACCACCCTGTGACTCCTTGGCACTAAAATGCACCCGTTTTTTACATTGTATGGACAAATGCATCCAAATGCACAAGTCCTTGGCATTTACATAGGCTTTAACATGGAAAATGTTGTTTGGAAGTGCTCTGTGTAGTGGTTTTGAAATACCGGCCACTTTATTAGGTACACCTCTTCAATTGCTTGGTAACACAAATTGCTAATCACATGGCAGAAACTCAGTGCATTTACGTATCTAGACGTGGTGCAGACGACTTCCTGAAGTTAAAACAGAGCATCAGAATGGGAAAGAAAGGGGATTTAAGTGACTTTGAATGTGGCATGGTTGTTGATGCCAGATGGGCTGGTTTGAGTATTTCAAAAACTGCTGATCTACTGGGATTTTCATGCACAACTATATCTAGGGTTTACAGAGAATGGTCCAAAAAAGAGAAAATATCTAGTGAGCGGCAGTTGTGTGGACGAAAATGCCTTGTTGATGTTAGGAGGATTGGCAGACTGGTTTGAGATGAGAGAAAGCCAACAGTAACTCAAAAAAAACCATTTGTTAGGCTACGTTCACACTAGCAGTGTCAGCAGGCGTCAGACAGGCGTTTGGGAAGCGTTTTTAATGCTTCTTAAACGCCTCTAAAAATTCTGCACATGGCAGCACACAGTGCTGTTCACACACGGAAGCGTTAGCGTTGCGGCAAAACGGACGCCTCTGGTCGAGTCAGGAGGAGTTGAAGCCACCCATTCACGTCTATGGTGCCTCTCCACAAACGCCCGACCGGGCGTTTTGTGGTGCCGTTTTAACGCCTGGCAAACGCCTACCAATTGCCGCAAACCGCGCATAGGGCGTTTTTGGAGCGTTAAAAAACGCTTCACAAACGCCTATCTAATGCTTGTCAAATGCTATTGGGGCGTTTGGCAAGAGTTAGAAATAAAGTCAAGTGTGAACGAGCCCTTACAACCAAGGTATGCAGAATACCGTCTTTGAACATACATGTCAAACCTTGAAGCAGATGGGTTACAGCAGCAGAAGACCACACCAGGTGCCATTCCGGTCAGCTGAGAACAGGAAAAGGAGGCTAAAATTCACACGGGCTCACCAAAATTGGACAATAGAAGACAGGAAAAATGTTACCTGGTCTGATGAGTCTCAATTTCCGTACAGATGATTGTGCATGAAAATCCCAATAGATCAGCAGTTTTTGAAATACTCAGACCAGCCGTCTTGACCAACAACCATGCCGTGCTCAAAAGTCACTTACATCCCCTTTCTTCCCCATTCTGATGTTCGGTTTAAACTTCAGCAAGTCTTCTTCACCACGTCTAGATGCCTAAATGCATTGAGTTGCTGACATGTGATTGGCTGATTAGCAATTTGTGTTACCAAGCACTTGAACAGGTGTACCTAATAAAGTGTCCGGTGAGTGTATATACTGAGTATACAGTATGTGAAGACTCTAAACATAATAGGCTGAAATCCAAACCAGAACATTTTCTTTAGCTTCTCCGAAATGTAGTGCAACAAACTTGCTTAAACGTTTCTTTCATTTTGTGGACCATCCACATGAATATAGTATATATGGAGAATGTCACCAGACAAGGAACTAGGAGGTTCACGTCACAGCCAGGCTGGGTGCGCAGATGGTTTTCCTCACCATGCCTATAACCAGTAGTAGAGACCTGCAGAGTGACCTTGTCTTACCTCACCCTTACGCTACAAAAAAAAAAAAAATGAAATAAATTTTATGACAAAAAGTTCAGTAGTAATGCACAACAGGTTTACTGTAGTTATGTCATTTGCATAGCTAACTTATTCTGGATCTGTTTCACAAATCCTTGTAGCAATGAATCTTCATAAAATGTGATATAAAGCAGTTTATTTTATAATGTCACAAAAAGGAAAGTGTCTACTTTGTACTTTTCATAAAAGTGTTTTCTCTACACCATCCTATGGCCTTTGCGGAATTGTTCTATGTGGCAGCTCTGTACATATATAGTTTTTTGCTATACAAACATGATTTTTAACCACCACACTATCACCATATTGTAAATGAACAGTGGTGAACTTCTATTTCAGTAATGTCCTTTATAAATGTTGCTCCAGAAATAGCAAAAGCGTCCGTTAGTGTTGGCGAACTAAGCTGTCATACAATTCGTTCACAGACACTGCGTACAGAGCTGATCCAAGTGACTCTATACCTTAGGATCACTGTGACTGGTTACAGCAGAGAGACCAATCACAACGATCACATAATGTGAGCCTGCGCCTTACCCTTACAACAGAGGAAGGAGAGAAAGTGAAACTAATGAATGAAGGAGCCATTCATTAGTTTTTGAAGACAGCAGAGATCAGCAGTAGCTTCAGATTCAAGTAAAGTTTAACCATTTAATCCTGGTGCTCTTCCATACATATGTCAGCATGTCTCTTCAGTGATCTGTAGATGACACTTCATCTCCCTTATCTTGCTCACTGGAGCGGAACTAAACCCTCCTATCGTTTACAGCCAAGGAAGTTTCCATCTTAGCCTCTGTTTGATCTGCAACTGCCATGGTGGTGCACATGTGATCGGTTATGGCACCAACCTATCGGTTGTTTAACATTTTGATTGAAAGCGTAAGTAAATGGGACAGCATTCCTAGCAGGCTGAGAAAGTAATTTTTTTGCAACCATTAAATTCTATGCATGCTTAATGCATTCTCTGCATTAACCCTTTGAGGACTGTAAGATTTTGGAACGCCAAAAGAATCAATTTTTTTGTTTTTAAAGTTCGTACACTTCAGTTGCTGTAACTAAGCCATTTCATGAAATAATTGGCAAAAAGCTAGATCCATTTGTTGTTTGTTGATAAGAACTAAAATTTTGACTCAAACCAAAAAAAAAAAAAAAAAAGAGTCTTAAGTTCTTAATCAGATGATACACGCAATTAAAAACATGGGACAAATACGTCCCTTGGTCCTTATACTTACCTGAGCCTGATCTTGATCAGCACTGTGCATGAGAGCAAAGGCTCTCTCCCCTCTCTCTCTCCTCACTGGCCCAGAGAAAGTAGCAGGACCCACTGGATTCCACTGTCAACCACAGCCAGTAAAAAGGAGCGTCGGCAGAGCTGAGCCATGCTCTGTGTGTCAACAGACACACAGAGCTGACTAAGGAGTGAACATGCACATGTAACCCATAACAAACGGCTTGCTATGGGGGACCCGAGAAGACGATGATCGGGGCTGTCTCTGCAATATCAGCACAGAGCTGGTAAGTATAACGTGTTTGTTATTCTAAAAAAACAAAAATGTGATCCTTTACAATCACTTTAAAGCATCTTTTCATAATATACATTAGAGGACTGGTTGATTGCCATGTTTCTGCTGCCAAAAGAAATAAGGGGAGAGGAGATGTGATTTTAGCATCTCTGCTGTGAATTTTGAATATGAATTTCTTTACAATTCCTCTAGTTACAGAAGTGCACAAGAACATGTTTTAGAGTATTTTTATGCTTGCTCAGAAAACAAACATTTTAATCTGCGTAGTCTGAGCACAGGTACACTTTAAACCCAGTCCACTGCTGCTCTCAGTGGTTCGATCTCCTGGCCCTTACCTCACCCTGTGTTTTGTAGTTATGTAATTGCCATTGGGAAGAACCACAGAATGCAGTGGGGGACCAGGAACCAGACACTTCAACTGCAATATAGCAAATATTGAAAGGAAATACTAACTTTTTTTTTACAACAATTTTCCAGGGGGCACTATTCATTTTGTTTTTGTGACAGAAAGGATTGCAGTTTTTATGAAGTGGAATTGATGTCATATCACATGGCCAATATAGATGTAGACAGTACAAAGTGGAGTTCTTTGAATACAAAGTATACCAAAACACAATATTTATTTATTTATAAAAATACAATACAAAATTTGAATTCATTATAAATAGTTATATCATGTAGTGAATCCGCTTTTTTTGTCTTTCTATATGCATTGTTATTGAGGGAGCTATATACTTTAAGGTAAGCTACATAAAGCTGCCATTTATATTACACTTTCTGCTGACACGCTGCGCACAGCGACAAAATGGTCAAACCCAGACAAGATCACAAAGCGCAAATGGACCGCTTGTACTCCAGGAAGCTGGGGGAACAAAAAAAAAAAGTTTTAAAAAATGTTACATTGTTTATAGAGAGCAAATACAGTTTTGCATGCGGTGAAGATACGTATGTGGAATAACAAAGTCTATCTAAATTCAAAAACAAAATATATGGTCATTTACCAGTCCTCAGATGTGATGGCTGCATATTTCCTTTCTTTTCACCTGGTAATCCTGCGAATAACACACTTCCTACCATAGTTGTCAAACTAGCTGTACCTCAAACATGTCTGCTTTTGACTTCTATACATGGTGGGTGGAGATTTAGTAGTTTACAGAAGGAACATAAGATTTGTTTTTGCTTTCCAGCTCACAGGAAGTGTCATGGACACTGCATTTCTGGCAAGATCAATGGATATTTTCTGTACTTGCTAAAAATGTTATTAGCCTGAAAAATAAAAATGACTGCAGCCATAAAGGACTGGTACATGGTTATATATTACATTTTTGTTCTTGCTGTAATGGAACCGGATCCCGACTGCACTTGGGTATTTCCATTAGACTCCCGCTTCCCTGTCCGAAACCGACCACAGACACCACGCTTCAAGTAAAACCAGGAAATAGACTACTTTATTTTAACACAGATACAAAATATATACACTCAGGGGACAAATCCCCCTCCCTGCATAATGACACAGGGTGGGGCAATCTACATTTAGTAACAAGAGACACACAGGTATTCAAACTTCACTCCAGCAGACAGTCCCATCAGGAGGGAGGGTTGCTGGAGACACCCCCCACTAAGCCAATACACATAAACACATACATCCCATAATAGTTTGCTCCCAAGCCAGACACACAATAGAACAATGGGATGTAACCACATAACACCAAACAATCAACAAACCCCCACCCCAATAATAGGACATTTCACCCGGTACCCCTAACAGGCACAGGGTGACTTACACATAAGAGGGATATGGGAAGCTGAGACAGGGGTCTCCTCACCTCTCCAAACTGAGCTGTGTTCCATGGGCCCCCCACCCAAAATGACTCCCGTCACACTTGGGTTTAGATATCCTCTACAGTAGACCTCTTGAAAGCAGAAATATGCCATTACTGACTTATCAATGCTCACAGTCTAAATCTGTGCCAGCAAAAGGTTATGCAGTTGCTGTTTGTGCATATTTCCACACAGTACTGAAAAATCACTAAACCAGATGTATCACAGAATCAACTAAACTGAAAGCATTAGATGAAGCTGCAAATGTGACAAGACCTGTTTTGCTACAAACAGTTGACTTTTTATCTAGAAAACTCCATTGTGATCTGGTCAGTCAGCTTCTTTTATCCTGTAATAAGATTTCCCTTAGCTAAGCAAGTACCGTATATACTCGAGTATAAGCCGAGTTTTTCAACACATTTTTTGTGCTGAAAAACGGCCCCCTCGGCTTATACTCGAGTCAACCTCTGCAGGGGGGGCGCGAGGCTCCGTCAAGGGGGGCGCGTACAGGGGTGGGCAGAGGGCTGCTGTCTCTTACCTGGCTCCCACGATGATCCATCCAGGAAGCGCTGCTCCTTCCATCACTCCGGCCACTCCCTCACTCCTGCCGCTCGGCTCCGCCTCCTCACCGGTGATTGGCCGCCAGAACTGTAGCTCAGGAAAGGTACACAGGCGGACAATCACGGGCAAGGAGGCGGAGCCGAGCGGACCCGCGAAAATCGAGTGAGGGAAAAGCCGGTAAGTGTGCAGTGCAGAGGTGCTGCTGCAACCACATATGCTGGCTGCAGCAGCACCATACTGCAACAGGGGTCAGCAAGTGTCATTGGTGTCAGTGGGAGGAATAGTGCCGCATCATTGGTGTCACTGATACTAATGATGGGGCATTATTCCTCCCACTGACACCAACGATGGGGCACTATTCCTCCCACTGATACTAATGATGGGGCATTATTCCTCCCACTGACACCAACGATGGGGCACTATTCCTCCCACTGATACTAATGATGGGGCATTATTCCTCCCACTGACACCAACGATGGGGCACTATTCCTCCCACTGATACTAATGATGGGGCACTATTCCTCCCACTGACAACAATGATGGGGCACTATTCCTCCCACTGACACCAATGATGGGGCACTATTCCTCCCACTGACACCAATGATGGGGCACTATTCCTCCCACTGACACCAATGATGGGGCACTATTCCTCCCACTGATACTAATGATGGGGCTTATACTCGAGTCAATAGTTTTTCCCAGTTTTTTGTGGTAAAATTAGGTACCTCGGCTTATATTCGGGTCGGCTTATACTCGAGTATATACGGTAAATAGAATGTAAATTCATACAGTACTTCAGACAAATATAAAGATTGCTCTTTAGTCCAGTAATGTAATCATGCACACGGGGTGTTTTAATAACACTGGTAACATTAGCTGTGTAAAGTCACGTTAAAAACATGAGGTTTTCATAGTTTTTTTTTGCATTAGCATTTAGCGGCTTTTTTAGCCCCAAAAAATTTTTTGGGGTCAAAAAAAGTCCAAAACCACCTGGTTGCCGCGATTTATCGCGTTTTACTGTGTTTTTACAGCTAACAAACTCCTCTAGATACCCACTAGTTCTAGTTTTTTTCCAGCCAAAAAACGCCTCTGCCAAAAAAACATTGATTACTGTCTATGTGTGCATGGATACATAGGATAACATGGTGGGGGGTTTACTGGCTGTAGAAAAAAACATCAAAAGCCAAAAACAGCCGCTGTAAAAACATCCAGTGTACATGAGGACTTAAAAATCATTAATCAACAAATATGTTTCAACCTTCTGGTTGAATTATTAATAAAAAAAAGATTCAAGACTGATTTACACCAATCAGCCATAACTTTATGACCACCCACCTAATATTGAGTAGGTCCTCCTCTTTGCACCAAAACAGCCCTGAGCAGTCAAGGCATGGACACCACTAGACTTATTAAGGTATGCTGTGCTATCTGGCACCGAGCCATCAGTAGCAGATCCTTTAATTCATTTTAAATTGTGAGTTGGGGCCTTCATTAATTGGACTTGTTTTTCCAGCACACCCCACAGATGCTCAAATGGATTGAGATTTAGAGAATTAGGAGGCCAAGTAAGCACCTCATACTCATTGTGGTGCTCCTCAAAGAATTCTTGAACCATTTTTCTTGAACCAGTTTGGCATGGCGCATTATTTTGCTAAAAGAGGCCACTGCCATCAAAGAATACCATTTCCATGAAGGAGTGTACTTGGTCAGTACCAAAATTTAGGTAGGTGGTATGTGTCAAGCAACATCCACATGAATGGCAGGACCCAAGGTTTCACAACAGAACATCCTCTTCCTCAGGTTAGCGATGCACACGCACCAGGCCATCCACATGATCTTAATGAAAATGTGATTCATCAGACCAGGCCACCTTCTTCCATTGCCTGGTGGTCCAGTTCTGATGCTCACGTGCCCATTGTAGGTCTTTTGGTATAGGCACAGGGTATTGGCACCCTGACTGGTATGTGACTACGCAGCCACATACACAACAAACTGCGATGCCTATTTTTTCTGCATCCAACACATCAACCTTAGGGACAACATGTTCTCTGCTGCCTAATATATCCCACCCACTTTCAGATGCCATTGTAATAAGATAATCAAATTCATTGAATGTGTCAGCGGTCATAAAGTTATGGCTGATTGGTGCATATTTTGTATTTTCATATCCAGTTAGCAAGTGCAGTCCTAACCATGAAACTAAAACCCTTCCACCATTCATTCCCTTGTATAATGACATCACTGTTGTTGATCATTGAGGTGCTCTCATTGGATAGTGGGATTGTGGATGTGTAAGGCTCAAGTCTGGGGGGTGCTACTCAGACCTAAAGTCAGTAAAGACATGTCCATAGTAACAAACGGAAACCAGGACTAGGAAAAAATATATACGTCTTCTTCCTAAAAACAAGGTATTACGTCATGGTCCGCCTAGGCAGGACTTTTATTTTAGGCCCATTCACACTTGGGCGATTAGGAATCATGGGCAGAATAGATGGCACAATCTGCAATTGTCGCGCAAGAAAGCACGCATGAATCGGTGCAAAATGCGCGTGTAAAATCTTGCCTGGCCCAGGGACAAGATTTGGACCCTTAGTTTCTTTGCTGTGACAAACGTGTATAGGGCAACTCATTCAAGTGAATGGGCTGCCCTATGCACAAGTGGAATCGCATGAAAATCACCCATGCAAAATCTCCAGCAGGAACGTGTGTTCTTCCTCCATGCAGTGTGAACGGAGCCTTAAGGCACCATTTAGAGTTTTGTAGCTTGAAGCTCAGTTACAAATCTCACAAAAAAAGAAATCCCATGTAGATAATCTCACATATGAGCGCTCTGGTGCCTGTAGGTCAATCCTGACATTCCAAAAGCTATGTAAGCTACTTTTGAGGCAGAATAGGGCATTTTTGGCCCCATACATCTGAACAGGAACATCCATAAATGTACAAATGGAGCATTTTTCTGTGGTTTTTTTTTTTCATTCATATTTCTGGCTTTTTTTTAGCCAGTAAAGACTTGTCTCCTCCCCCCTACGGCTTCCCATTGGCTAAAATAAAAAAGCCTATAGTATGAATATGCATGTAAACGGTTTCAAATACGCTTCAAAAAGGTGCATGCAAAATGCTAAAAAATGGCTGAAAATTGCTCTGCTCTGGTGTGATTGCAGCCTTCAAGAGTTTGTAAACCCTTAGGGCTCGTTCACACTTGACTGTTTTTTCCAACTCTTGCCAAACGCCCCTATAGCGTTTGACAAGCATTGGTCCGGCATTTGTGGAGCATTTTTAACGCTCCGCAAACGCCGCATGCGAGGTTTATCGGCGGTTGCTAGGCGTTTGCCAAGCGTTAAAAAACGCCCCACAAACGCCTATAATGAAGTTTGAATGGTATTAACGCTCAGCAACCGCCCCGCAACCGCACCGCAAACGCCAGCCGGACATTTGCGGAGCAGCACCATAGGAGGCTTCAACTCCTCCTGACTCGACCAGGGGCGTCCGTTTTGCCGTGAAGAGACGCAACGCGACGCTAACGCTCCCGTTTGAACAGCACTATGTACTGCAATGTGCAGAATTTTCCCAGGCGTTTGGGAAACGGTAAAAACGCTTCCCAAACGCCTATCTGCCGCTTGCTAACAAGGCTAGTGTGAACGTAGCCTTCCATATACCCAGTGAAGTGGCTGGCCTTAAGTGATACACAGAGATTAAACAAACCCTCCTACATAAGTTGTACTTGTCTATCTGCAGTCTTATCTTCTCTACATCAGTTCAAAGTGCAGAATTTATACAGCTTGTCTGAGGTTTCACAAAACAGGGAGCTGAAATTACACTCGGCAGAGCTCAGTGAGGAGAACTCTGAGAGCTGACTGGAGGGAAGAGACACACACCCCCTGTGATTGACATCCTAAGCTCTGTAACCCCCAGGAACAGAGCTGAAGATGTCAATCACAGGCTGTGTGCTAGAGATCCCTCCCCTGTCACCTTTTTCTCTTGATGTCAGGAAAACTTGTCAGAAGTGATTCATGCTGATAGCCAAGCAGAAGTAGCAGACAGAAATGGCACTTGGGGGGAGGTTTAAACTTAAACTTGTAAACACATAATTGGATGCAGCTGTGCATAGTAAGCAATCAGTTTTATTCTCAAAGCTTGAATTGAACAAGCTGAAGTTAGAAGCTGATTGGTTACTATGCACAGCTGTGTCAGTTTAAGTAAATCTTCCCCTTAAGAGCTCTAGACAGAAGCAAGTACACACTATAGAGCAGTGGTTCTCAACCTGTGGTTCGTGACCCCTTTGGGGGTCGAATGACCCTTTCACAGGGGTCGCCTAAGACCATCGGAAAACACATATTTCCGATGTGTAAAGAGCAGCTGCTGTGTAGAAACAGCCGCTCTGTAGAAAGCAGCTACTGTGTAGAAAGCAGCCACTGTGTAGAAAGCAGCCACTGTGTAGAAAGCAGCTACTGTGTTGAAAGCAGCTACTGTGTTGAAAGCAGCTACTGTGTTGAAAGCAGCAGTATTGGAGGTAGAACGACACATCATGAATTATAATTACTGGGTAAATAATTTTATGGTTGGGGGGTCACCACAACATGAGGAACTGTATAAAAGGGTCGCGACATTAGGAAGGTTGAGAACCACTGCTATAGAGGGATGTGCTTTGTTCATATTTCATGTCTGAGGTTTCCAACCACTATAAATTTTTGAGATGGCAAAAAGGTTCATTGAAAGTTTGAGTGGTTTAATACTTACAGTCATTTCTTCAGTGTGGAATTGTCCTTCAACATGCTCAAACTCTGCAACCAAGTGGAAAGAAAATCCTTTTCAGTCATGATGCTGCAACAATACATCAATATAGATAGCAGCAAAAGTCTCTTACAACACACATGACAAGATAATTGCTGAAAACCTCATACTTCTGAGACTCAGAAACACACTAATTACATCAGTACAATAAAAAGCAGCTTATAAATTAATTTAAGGCTAACTTTAGGATCTTAGCAACTCCTCCCAACTCCCCCTAACTCCTAGTATAGAAAAAAAAAACCCTATTCAAATACCTATTTTACCTAGCAGATGCCACAGTCACATGACAATCCTCTTTTCCTATGTCTACCTCCTGGGGTCCTTCTTCGGGTGTCCACATCATGGCCCGAGTGATGTAGGCACCTCTTATTTGTGAAAGCAACACTTCCAATGGGCGCGCCTTCTCTCATAGGCTCCAGAGGCAGGAGACCTCACGTGGCAGTGACGGGACCAGTGCTCAAGAACATGGAAAAATGTCTGGTCCCCAGGGCAGGAAATTAGCTTGCCTCGTAGAGGAAACTGGCCTTGATCAAGTACACTGCAGGATGGCTTAGGAAGAGGTGTTTGGAATCAAACCCGAGGTGTGATGTAATTGATGCACAATGCACTATTTACATTTCATTTTTTTTGGAGCTGGACTTTAACCCCTTGATGCCGACCGCAGGCAAATTAGCAGCCTCACAGAACTGGGCCGCTAATCTGTGTACTTGTCTTTCTACTGGGAGCGCATCACACAGTGCGCTCGCAGCACAAAGACCGGGGTGTCACTGAGAGCCCCGAGTCCCGTTCTACTGATCGGGACCCAGAACTCCTGATTCCAGGTCACATGATCACTGTGATAGCCACTGATTGGCCATCACAGTGATCAGTCACTGTGAAGCCCCCCCCCCCCTGTTTTCTCTCTCTGAATGGAGAGAGAGATACATTGTATCTCTCTGTCTTTTCAGAGAGAAAAAAAAAACCCAATTGTGTGTAAAAAAAATAAATAAATAAAAATAATATAAAAAAATAAAAACAAAAATACCTAGATCCAAGGTTTGATCTAGGTCTGTGCCAGGGTTAGTGTTTAGGTCAAGGTCAGGGTCAAAGGTCAAGGTTTGTTTGTTTTTTAATCAGGGTTTTTTTTTGTTTTTTTTTTTAAATTAGTATCAGTTATTGGCAGGATAAAGAAAAAAAAAAAAAAGAAGCAAATTGTGCACTATTGTCTCTGGGCTATACTATGGGTACAAACAACTAACATGCACACATATGGTATCACTGCGATTGTCAGAAGCAGGAGAATTATTTTGGGTTGTTTCTTTGGTGGTAGGTTACGGCAGAGCAAGAAATATACAGCTAAATTAAAAAAAATGTTTTTTTTTTTTTTTTTTTTTCACTATTGTGGGCCAGCTTTCCTTTGGTAATAGAAAAAAAAAAAAAAAAAAAAACAAATCAGGAGATATCCATTACCATTTACCACCAAATGAAAGCCCCATTTGTCCTGAAGAAAAAACAAGGTGTAATCCACCTGGATGCACAAAGTAGTTGTAAAGATATTTACGGTTTTACTAACATGTTTCAAAGTTGCAAAATTGTGCTTAGGCGTTAAGATTTGTTTTACCCTTAGGCACGAAGGGGTTAAAAGAGGAACTGCAGTATTTTTTTTTTCCTTCAAACACCACAATGTAAATAAGTTTCACCGCTCAAAGGACAGCCTGTATCCTCCTAGATTACCTGCAATCAGCTGGGTGCCAGAGCCCTAGAGCCCACTTTTTCTCCACTCCAATCAAGCCTCCAAATAAGGGGCCGCACACCAAACAGGTTAAACTCCAGCTAAGGTTTATTGCAATGAAGTACACTCCCAAGTAAAAAACCTTAGCTGGGATTGAACATCTTTATAATGCAGCCCATTACTTGGATGTTGGGCATAGAATAGTCTTATTTAGAGGTACCTTTTTTACAATGTGAAGTTTCAAAAAAAAAAAAAAAAAAAAAAAAGAATTTCCTTTAGTTCTGCTTTCATCAAATTCAAAAACGATACAAAATCATTGCTCACAGTTACATACTCACCTCTTTCCACACAGTGCTCAAAATTAGTTGGGTCTTTGGAAGTGCTTGTTTCAATACATAAACTTCTAACTGTAAAAGAAGAAGGTTAAATAAAGGCAATGACACTTCAATACTGATGAAGGAAGCTGAACACTGTGAGTGCAACTCTGTACTGTCATCTTGTGGCAACACACAATACAGTCTATTAATACTTGGAAAGCGTGCTAAGAAAAATATAGAGGGTGCGTTAGCTCCTCTTTCTAAAAATGCCAGTAGGCTGACTGTTAGACAATCTAATAGCTTCAGTACATCCCTGGTCTTTGACCCAGCACACGTATGTAGATCAGGAGTCCTGAAGTCATTGCTGCATATTTGTCCAGGATCAGTGAGAGTGTTAGTTGTATTAAAGCCTGAAGATCAGCAATCACAGCCTTTACATTTCCTACACACAAGCACTCATCTCATTTAAGGACAGAATTATACTAATATGTTTGTGCTGAAAACTAAGAATAATAGAGTGATCCTGGCTATAGGTAATGAAAGACAGTTAGAGGTGTACCTCAGTTTACGAACTTTTTCGGTTTACGAATGAAAATCGATTGATTTTTGGCCAGCTGGATCCTTTTAGTCTCCTGTGGGCTTATAACAACACCACCCTGAAGGAGGATTATTCGTGTCCCAGACCAGACCTATACCTGTTAAGGAGACCTCTACTGATTCATACACTGCGTATTTAAATTACGCATCTCGTTAGTGCGTAATTTTTACCACACCGTTTGGGAGCACCGCCACTGAATTTTATTGTCATTCCGCACCATTTTATTCACACAGACTGTCACCTTTATTAAATAATTTATTTTAAATAATTTTACTGTTATTTCCAACATGTGACAGACTTCATCAGTATTATTATTATACAGTATTTATATAGCGCCAAAGGGTTTGCTCAGCGCTGTACAATAGCAAGGGGGACAGAACATGAGACAAGACAGTAACAATACAATACACAAGAGGTTCGAGGGCCCTGCTCTTTCCAGCTCACAATCTAGGAATACTCATTTTAGCGCTGCACTTATTTATTATATGTATATGTGGAAGAAGGTGCTCTGGTCAGATAAGACCAAAATTTAACTTTTTGGCCTAAAAGCAAAGCGCTATGTGTGGCGGAAAACTAACACTGCACATCACCCTGAACACACCATCCCTACTGTGAAACAAAGGTGGTGGCAGCATCATGTTGTGGAGATGCTTTTCTTCAGCAGGAACAGGGAAGCTGGTCAGAGTTGATGGGAAGATGGATGGAGCCAAATACAGGGCAATCTTAGAAGAAAACCTGTTAGAGTTTGAAAATGACTTGAAACTGGGGTGGAGGTTCACCTTCCAGCAGGACAACAACCCTAAACATACAGCCAGAGCTACAATGGAATGGTTTAGATCAAAGCATATTCATGAGTTAGAATGGCCCAGTCAAAGTCCAGACCTAAATCCAATTGAGAATCTGTGGAAAGACTTGAAAACTGCTGTTCACAGATGCTCTCCCTCCAATCAGACAGAGCTTGAGCTATTTTGCAAATAAGAATGGGCAAAAATGTCCCTCTCTAGATGTGCAAAACTGGTAGAGACATCCCCAAAAAGACTTGCAGCTGTAATTGCAGCGAAAGGTAGGTGATTCTACAAAGTATTGAATCGGGGGGAGGAGGTTGGGGCTGAATACAAATGCATGCCACACATTTCAGATATTTCATACTTGTAAAAAACATTTGTAGACCTCTTATCATTTTCCTTCTACTTCACAATTATGTGCCACTTTGTGTTGGTCTATCACATAAAATCCCCAAAAAATTCATTTATGTGTTATGCCAGTACATCTAAAACTCCCTCCCCCCAATACTGACAATGCTGCTGTCCAAGGGTGGCTCCTGTGCTCCTTCAGGAGGTATGTTACTGGTCTGATCGCCAGATGAAAACAGAGAGGGGAGAGCCTAAAAATAGAAAACTAATGCAACCACCACATCTAAATGATTGATGAGCTGAGATACAATACATTTTTGGTTTTGGGTTTAATACTGCTTTAGAGAAGTATAAACTTTTGAAGAAAAAAAAACATACATACTCATGTCCCTGCTGCGATATCAGTATGATCCTATATCTGGCCCATGCCAATTCTAACAGAGAACTGAGTGATCACATCACATTCTCAGTTCTCAGTCTGCTTCAAGTGGAAAGCAGTGACGGTCAGTCACCAATCTCCGCTGTGCTTATCTAGTGCTCATTATAGCACTGGGCTGGAGTGGGGGTGAGCATGGCTGGCTCCCAGCTTTGGCCATATTTTCACTTTTAATGCTATGTATAGGAGATAAAGCTCCCTGTGGCCTTACTTTGTGAGCTTTCGATGGTGATTTTTCCAATTTTTTGCAAAGTGTTCAAGCTGATGATGAATTCCTGGGGGAACATTCCTGTTGTAGTCCAGAATGTGTCAGGATTCCTGGAAAGAAATTAAGATCTTCAAAAGGCTGAAATATGACTCTCAGAATTAAAGTATAACTAAAGGCAAATTTTTTTTTAGTTTTGGAGAGAGTGGAAAAGGATTAGAACATCTGTCATGTTATTGCTGGCTGTGTCTACGTTAGAAACATTCACTCTCTCCATTTATCCTTTTACCTTCATCACAAAAATGAAAACAAATCCCACATTTTGGGTTGTCACCTGAGCAGAATAAAGAAGGCAAAATGTCCAATGGAGACACTAGTTCTGGTCACTGCCAAGGATTTCCTCTTATTTGCTATTTTGGCTATGGAAGTGGAAATCCCCTCAATGAGACACAAATGACCAAAAAAATCATGTGCTCCTGATGATGTAATTTTTTATTAACCCCTAGACGCCGAGCCACGCAAATATATGGCCTCTTGGCCTTGACGCCAAGCGGCCGCATATTTGCATACCATATGAAAATACATATGTGCTGAGAGCGCGCGCCCTGCACGCTCCCAGCACATATGTCTGTGACTCACGGAAAGATCCCGATCTCCCCTTGCGTTCGGAACCTTTTCCGATCATGTGACCACCGTGACAGCGAATCATGGCGGTCACATGACCCTAAAACCCTGCCAAGCCTTCTGAAACTCTTAAAGGGCCGGGAGGTGCCGGCGCAAAGGGGTTAAACTAGGGCAGAGACGGAACACACACCACTATGTATATATGATCCCGCTGCAGCCATCTTAGATTCTGGAATACGAGTTTATATGATAGGAAGTGCCTGATTGTCAGTGCATTTGCCACATTAAATTGGTGTTTTAATCTGGATTACACTATGGAGAGCCTGACCTTTTCTTTTTCATGATACTATATCCAACTGAGTATATATGTACAGGGATCTGATATAACGCAGCAGTACCATCATTTGACATGAGGTTTTGAGGAAAGCTGGATATCTTAGATTGATACACAAGTGCTGGTTGACCACTCTTAATTGGGGATCCCATGACTATAGCAAGCCTCTCTTTGCTGTACACCGAGGTGCTGTGTGGTTCATCATTAAGAAGTTTTGGTAGCGTTTGCGTATCCACATGTCATTTCCCTCATAGTCGAAGAACCATTGAATTCACAGTTTTTGGGTTCACATTTGGATTCCTTTATTTTTCCAATTTGTGCTGACACAAAAGAGTTTGTCATATTTGTATTGCACTAGTGCTAGCTGCTATATTTTTTGACACCCAACGGAGTCCTAGCGCAGTTTTTTTTTTGTTCTCAAAAAAATGACAGAGGTTTTAACTAGAGATGGGCATGGGCAGGGTGACCTGGCCTGCAGCTCACTGGAGTACAAAGAAGCTGGGGTCCGGAGTCTGGGTTTGGTAAACATTGCACAGAAAAAAAATTGAATATTTATAAACACTTGTCAAACAAATACCATTGGGCTAAAAAGCCCTTCCCTTGGTGCAGAAGACCTTTCTTGCAATAAAACAATAAAAAATGTAAACATATAATATTCTCCAGCATTTCTGTGTACAATGGGGCTACATGCATTTGGGCACATTAGCTGGTGCAGTGTAAAGACACTGTGGGGTTAATTTACTAAAGCTGGGCGCAGCTATTTGCTTACAGTTGCCTAAGGTGCATTCCATGTATTATTTCTGTGCTGCTACTTTATGTAAATAGGGTGCATAGCTGCATACAGCCACCTTCACCCATTCAGGTCTATGGACCACTGCATGCTGCTCTAGGACATCCGGGACACCAGAACCACACTGGGGTTGATTTTGCTAAAACTGGAGAGTGCAAAATCTGGTGCAGCTCTGCACGGAAACCAATCAGCCTCCAGTTTTTCTGTCAAGCTGCATTGAACAAGCTAGAAGGGTATTGGCTACCATACAGAGCTGTACCAGATTTTGCGCTTTCCAGTCTTATTAAATCAATCTCACTCAAATTTAGTAAGAAATTTAGGCCAAAATGTATTCTGCAACATCTTTGGTTAAAAACAAATATGTGTATATTAATTGATTTGTGAGAAAGTTATAGCATCTACAAACATGCTGTACATATCAGGGATGTGCAATCCCTATCGCCTGATGCCTGGGACATGTAGTTCCGGGCGCCGGGCAGGTATCTTTTTTGGCCTTCAGGTGCAGCAATCGGCGGCAGCACCTATAGAAAATATATGGTGAATATAGCGAGCGCTCAGAAAAACCAGCTGCTGGAACACTTCAAGGGATCACTAAACCTCATAACAGAGACATTATATATATATATATATAGTGCAGCGCTGAAATGTGATAAAATGGTATATATAGAGAGTCTTTCTCATGACAATAAAATCAAATCAAATATGTGCAGGTCTTCTCCTCATTAGGTGACTGGAAAATAGCAAGATTGCGCACTCACCGACCGCACATTTAAAATGCGCCTGTGTATGATATAATCCAAAAGACCAGCCAGGTATACAGCTCCAGAGACCACACGGATCCTCCCTCTTCCACACTCTCATCCACCTTGGGTGTAGCAATATCTCCAGATCCAGAGGTAGATAGACAGGGATCCCCCTTTTTTGGTTCCGGACACCCCAAGAATGGAAGATGTATATCTGCACTCTCCAACAGGAGAGCCAAAGAAAAAGGGGGAACGCCAATAGTGTGGTACTATCAAAACTTTATTGGAGCAATAATGCCTGGGTCATATGCACATACATATCCATACACCATAAGCCAATAACGGACAGGTAGGTATGAAAAGGAAATTAGTACTAACCCGGCAATGGCATAAAAACAAGGACCACTAGACCTCCTCTTGGTCTCAGTGGTCTGGAAGTCACACTTGCTACTTGGCTCCTCCTGAGGCCTTTCGTGCAAAAAGCACTTCTTCAGAGGATGGACGCCACTAGCCAGTGCTAGTGCTTTTCATACCTACCTGTCCGTTAGTGCTAGTGCTTTTCATACCTACCTGTCCGTTATTGGCTTATGGTGTATGGATATGTATGTGCATATGACCCAGGCATTATTGCTCCAATAAAGTTTTGATAGTACCACACTATTGGCGTTCCCCCTTTTTCTTTGGCTCTCCTGTTGGAGAGTGCAGATATACATCTTCCATTCTTGGGGTGTCCGGAACCAAAAAAGGGGGATCCCTGTCTATCTACCTCTGGATCTGGAGATATTGCTACACCCAAGGCGGATGAGAGTGTGGAAGAGAGGGAGGATCCGTGTGGTCTCTGGAGCTGTATACCTGGCTGGTCTTTTGGATTATATCATACACAGGCGCATTTTAAATGTGCGGTCGGGTGAGTGCGCAATCTTGCTATTTTCCAGTCACCTAATGAGGAGAAGACCTGCACATATTTGATTTTGATTTTATTGTCATGAGAAAGACTCTCTATATATACCATTTTATCACATTTCAGCGCTGCACTATATATATATATATATAGAAAATATAGGGTACTAAAGTTTGTTGCCAAATTGGATAATTTATTGCTTGTTTGCCCTAAAATTAACTTAAGTGTATTTACCACTATTTCATTCTCTAGGATCTCTGATTTCAGAAAATGATTTTCTTAAACGTGTGCAAATAACGCAAAAATAGCTCTGGCAGTGAATGATAAGTCCGACACACCCCTTTCCTAACGAGCAGCCAAGGTCTTGCCCCTCCCTGCTAGTCCCTGGGGGCGGGGCTGGAGAGAGGCAGGGAGGGGGGAGGAGATAAACAGTGCAATGTTAAAAGTATTAAACGTTTAAGTCGCCATAAAGCCCCTTTTGTTTTTAAAAGCCCCGGACGTTACTTAAAGCAGGCTTAAATACAGTTTTGGTTAAATTTATGTTTTTTTATCAGGACAAGTAGATTGTCATGAGGTGCAAGTAGATTGGGGCACCGATTTAGTCCCTGGGCAAGTAGTTTTTTCAAACATTTCCACACCCCTGTGTATGTATATATATATATATGCCCCTCATGACAATCAATATTGGAATTTATACAGCTTTTACTTACAAACTGCCTATCACATTTCTTCAGATGCTAAAATTCCAGGGCAGTAAAAAAACAACCCCCATATAACCCCCTTTTTGGAAAGTTGACACCCCAAGGAGTTTGTTGAAAGGCACGTTGAGTCCATAGAAGATTTTATTTCTTACCACAAATGTTTTGAAAATTACAGATTTTTTTTCTTACAAAAAGTTGTCACCTAAATGATATATTGCTCACACATGCAATTGGTATATGTGGATTAATACCCCAAAACACATTTTACTACTTATCCCGAGTATGGGGATGCCACATGTGAAAGACTTTTTGGCAGCCTAGCTGCATACAGGCCCCCAGAATCCAATGACCACCTCCAAGCTTTCAAAGGGCATATTTCCTCATGTCACTCACTACCTATCACAGTTTCGGAGGCCCTAAAATGCCAGGACAGTGCAAACACCCCCCCCCCCCCTTCCTGAAATGACCCCTTTCTGGAAAGTATACACCCCAAGGAATTTGATACGAGGCATGGTGAGTATTTTGCAGATATTTTTTGTCACAGGGTTTTAAAAAAGAAAAAGAAACAATACATTTTTGCTGTCTTTCTTCAAGTTTTTTTACATGTTGATCATATCCCCCCTTGAAGTGGAGTTCCACTCACACTGTAAAAAAATAAAAGTCAGCAGCTACAAAAAACTGTAGCTGTTGACTTTTAAAAAATAGCCACTCACCTGTCCCATGATCCAGCAGTGCCCCCGCTGCAGCCCGTTTCACTGGCCATCCTGTATTCCAGGCGCCGGCATCTTCAGTGTGGGCACCTGGCTGTGACAGCTTGCGGCTTCACAGCCGGGTGTCCAATGCGCATGCAGGAGTAGAGCTGCGCTTCCTGAATGGCCCCATAGTCTTCTGGGACCTGTCACGTGTCCCACAAGACTACAGGGAGGGAGGGTAGGAGGACAACTTCCACTTCCAATTGCCTAGGCGATCACAGCGGAAGTGGGAGCGGGTACCTGTCAGTTTCGGGTACCCGCTCCCCAAAGGTGCCAATCCTTAATGGAGAGCGGGGGACCTCTTTGGGTGGAACTCCGCTTTAATCTCCTCTTCTCAAGAGAGAATATATTCAGTTTCTCTAATCTTTCCTCATAGCTGATCTCCTCCATGCCTCTTATCAGTTTGGTTGCCCTTCTCTGTACTTTCTCCAGTTCCCCAATGTTGTTTTTGTGAATTGGTGCCCAAAACTGAACTGCATATTCCAGATGAGGTCTTACTAATAATTTGTACCGGGGTAATATGATATATCTCTCTCTGGAGTCTATACCTCTTTTAATACAAGAGAGGATTTTGCTCACATTAGAAACCGCAGCTTGGCATTACATGCCATTATTAAGCTTGTGATCTACCAGAACCCCCAGATCCTTCTCCACCATTGATTCCCCCAGTTGTACCCCCCCCAGTATGTATGATGCATGCATATTCTCAGCCCCCAAGTGCAGAACCTTACATTTATCAACATTAACCCTCATTTGCCACATAGTTGCCCAATTACACAGTGCATTGAGGTCGGCTTGTAAGTTGGACACATCCTGTAAGGACGTTATTCCACTGCACAGCACATTCCCATGATATCCAGTGAACATCTTCACATCAGTGTGTTGTGTTAGAAGACGGTGCGCTGCATTGCTTTTAAACTGCAGAAGACCTGCGTTACAGGAAATCGTCGCTGGACGGACACACAAGGCCCTAAGGCTGCATTGACACCTTTGACACCTTGGTGTTTCCGGAAGGTGCAGCAACAAGAACAGGAGTGAGCATTTTGGAAAAACACACGGCAAGTGCCACGCAACAAACATGCCAAAATGCATGTTGGGAAAACCATGTTTTGCTCCATGTACATAGGACGCCCATGCGTGTCACATGTTCCCACTACACTAGGTGCGAATGGGGCCTAATGTGAACACCGCTCAGTACAGTGTTCAGGCCCTTCCAGTGACAGCCTGCTATGCCTGTCCCTTGACACAGAGCTATAAGTGTCGCCTACAATACATTCCAATCAGGACATAGTAACAAGGACTGTCTGCCTGTAGAAATGTATCTCCATCTTACCAACCAATCAGGCTCTGCCTTTCCCGTTGCTAAGCCAAATTAGAAGCTGTACCTGAGGCTCTGATTGGTTGCTAGAGGGAAGCACAAGCCGCTCCGCAGTCTGACCTGAGGCCTAACAATTGGTAATCGTAGTCCAGAAAGCCTCGGTGTGTAGTGCTCACCCGTCTATGATGTGCTCGGCCGGGTGTCTGCCGTCACCAGAGGTAGCCAGGGCCAACACAGCCCCGGCAGAGCTCAGGCACAGGTCCCCCGCCCGGGTCATTTCACCTCACACCGAATCTGCTCTCTCTTCTCTGCAAGCCCACTGCAGTAGAGTGCCGCTTAGGGTTGCTAGGAAACAAGACGCAAGGAGGAACCACATACCCCGGAAGTAAACGCAAATAACTCGGAAGCGCGTTTGGAAAAAGTGCTCGTAGTGCTACGAGGAAAGGTTCCGGGGGGACAAAGGTTCCTAGGGGCAGAGAGCACCTGGCTGTGAGTTCCTCTGTCATTATCTTTTATCAGCCATGCCTGGAGCATTGAGAGATAGATAACCGCTCTGTCGTGACAGAATACTCTCTATGTGCACTGCTGAGGTGAGGTATGTGCTATAGTCCTCCATTACTTTATGTACAGTATGCTGGTATTTGGGGTTATAGTCCTGGAGAAAGTTCCCCTCATCAATGTGATGAAGTTCTAGTTGGGGTTATAGGTACGAAGGACATTTAAAGCCAAAATACTCTTCTTAGTTCTAGATAAAGTGGGGACAAGTTTCTGTCTGAATTTTATTTCCATCTGTGACCCCATTGGGGAGATTTTCCTTCGCATCCTGTCCCTGTGTCACCTATACAGGAAATAAGGGGGAGGGCTGTCTCCCACACAGGACCGCATAGACAGCTATAAAACCATTGTCAGGAGTTGTAACCCTTCCCCCACCCTACTGAATGTTATGTCTGTGACCCATTGGAGAGATTTCCCATCACTTTCTGTCTTGGTAGGAAGTGCAGGAAAATCTCCCCAACAGGGGCCAGGGATGAGGTCTGACGTGTTCAGATCCTAGTCTGAGCCCACCTGAGCTATCCTGCCTGGAAGCTGCCGCTGGACGCGACCAATCATAACCAGCTGAGGCATTCACTGCGCCGCAGCCACATGTAGACACCCCTTCAATGGGGGGTGGGCAGGGAATGCCTCAGCCGCTTATGATTGGCTGTGTACTTCCTGGAGGGATAGCTCAGGTGGGTTCAGACTGGATCCGAGCACTCGTCCCCAATAGGGTCAAAGATGGCGATACCAGCCTGACAGAGGCTGTAACCCTTTCCTGCTTTCTCTAGAACAAAATGAAAATGGAACTACACTGAGCACCACAAACCAAAAATGCTTTTTAACGTGGTTGTAATGGCTCAAGGTTTTTTACTTCATGCATGAAGAGAAAATCTGTGTGCTTCAGCCCCCCTAATACTTACTGGAGCCATATCGCCATTGGCTCCCAATGCTGTCGATCACAGCCAGTGAGCCAATGAGAAGAGGGAGGCGGGGCTAAGTTACGGCTCTGTGTGTGAATGGACACGCAGAGCAGCGACTTGGGAGCAATCCTGCTTGGGTGCCCCCATAGCAAGCTGCTTGCTCTGGGGGCACTCGGCAGGAGGGAGGGGTCAGGAGCACTGGCAGCAGAGCAGAGAAGAGGAGGATCCAGACTGCTCTGTATAAAACCAATGCACACAGAAGGTAAGTGTAGACATGTTTGTTTTGAGGTTTTTTTTTAATTGCCTTTAATATTCAGAGCAAACTCCCCCATCCATCCATGCCTCTATGCTTTATTTTCATGAGAAATCACTTTGAAAAACACCTCCTAGCATTTCTGGCCATGGCCATCTTAAAGGCAGATGATTCATGTAGCATTTACTTCCTAGAATCCATCTGCTCTTAGCTCAGGCATGCAGCAGGAGGGTGTGCTTAGCTGAGAAAACCCCTCCTCCCCTCCTGAAGACTCCTGTAATATATGACATCATTTGTCTAGGCAAGAAATGAGGAAGTAACTGAAGAAATGTAAAATAAAAATGTAAAACAAGTAAATATAATACACTCTCCTATCTCTTTACTAATGCCAGCAGCTGAAGGAGTAAAAAAAAAGTCAGTGAAGATTGAGAGAGTGAAGTTCTGCTTTAAATGTGGGCAGCACAGTGGCTAGATGGTTAGCACTTCCGCCTGGCAGTACTAGGGTCGTTGGTTCGAATCCCAACCACGGCACCACCTGCCTGGAGTTTGCATGTTCTCCCTGTGCCTGCGTGGGTTTCCTCCCACACTCCAAAGACATGCTGGTAGGTTAATTGGATCCTGTCTAAATTGTCCCTAGTATGTATATGAATGTAAGTTAGGGGCCTTAGATTGTACCCTTGAGGGTTAAGGACTGATGTGAATGTATAATATATATATAGAGCTGCGTAAACTGATGGCGCTATATAAGTAACAAATAAATAAATCCGGGGCACTCATCGACTAATGTTTTCTCGCGTGCCTATATATTTTATGAATATGTTTATTCACCCCAACTCACCATGTAGGTGGGAAATGTTTCTATTTCTGTGTATACCAATTTTTCAATAAAAATATTGAAAGATAAATCCTGGGCACAGCCCCCCCCCCCCCCCCAGCAGGGGTTGCAGTAATCTTCCAGTGCGGCGGGTGTTAATAGAGTCTGGGGACCCTGGATGTTCCCCTGCCATTTCTACCCATCTCCTCCATTCATAGTAGCTGTACTTCGCTTCTATGAATGAAAACTGAACTATCAATGGCTGTACATCATTGCTGTGCACTGAGATCCTGATAGTGATGACAGCTGACCCTGTCTGGGTAGTGTGTGTTGGCAAGGCTGCTTGTAGCCCCAGCCAGAGGAGCAGGTGACAGCGTGACAACACAGGAACACAGCTAGCATCATTTGACATAACCTTTAAAACAGGAAGTGTCTGAAAAAGAAGCTTTAATGCAAGATCACAGGGTATTAGTGGACGTAGTCCACCTTTAAGACCATATTTTATGTTGCACCCATATTTGGAGTGTAACCTGAAACATGGTCGCATTCACCAAACCGCCCTCCACATACCTGAGCTGTGGGGTGCTTCTTTCTGCAGGTTGTTTGAATTTTGCCACGAGGGTGTGGGCTCTGTCCATACAGCCAGGTCATCCATTTACACAATCTGTGAATGAGAAGACTACAAGACTCCTCTGCCACCATGGCAGAGGGAGGCATAGGTCTCCATAGAGCGCAAGTACAGCAACATCACCACAATTGTAGTTCATTGTTTACTTACATAGTTAGTCTGGCTGAAAAAAGACAAAAGTCCATCCAGTTCAACCATAGAAAAAAAAAACAGTTATAATCCTACACCCACAGTTGATCCAGAGAAAGGCAAAAAAAACCCAGCAAAGCATGATCCAATTTGCTCCTGCTGGGAAAAAAATTCCTTCCTTATCCCCCAAGAGGCAATCGGATATTCCCTGGATCAACTTTTACTTCCTCCAGCCTCATCACGGTGGGCTCATTCCTCCGCATTCAGACCTAGGGCTGGAATGAAAGCAATGCAGGAGCCTGTGCATTGCACCCAAAACACACTAATCATGGTTCAATGCAAAAATGTAATAAGATCCCATATTTTTTTTATTTTATTAATGTGTGCAATTTTTACATTTTTGAAAAAGGTGGACTATGGGGATGATTTACTAAAACTGCGGCACTCAGAATCTGGTGCAGCTGTACATGGTAGCCAATCAGCTTCTAACTTTAGCTTCAATAAAACTTGGAAGCTGATTGGTTTCTACGCAGAGCTGCACTAGATTTTGCACTCTCCAATTTTAGTAAATAACCCCCATATGCGTTTAATGTGATAAAGCCAAAACGTTTTGTTTTTTTTTAGGAGAAATCTCCCTAAGGGGGCACATGTTTTCACAATAACAGAATCAAACGGGATTTCCTTTTACTGTGAAGGGATTTATTTTGTGTTTCTGTTACAGGAAATGAAATGACAGCTCCCTAATGTTATCAGGACAGCATAAGAAAATAACTGACAGAGATTTTAACTAACTCCCTACTCTATCAAAAAACAAGAAAAAAATTTTGCTTAGAAACACTCTTTTAATCCTTTACAACAGCATAACACATATGTGCAATGGCAGGGCGGGTGAGACTTCACATCAAGCCACTGCACAAATGTGTCCATGGAACATTGAGACTCTATGCCAAGAGCTTGGCCCCCAGTACACTAGCCAGGCTGTCACAGACAGCTTCCAGTCTCTGTTTGGGATCGGGATCCTGTGGGATAGACTCCCAATCATGTGACTGTTGTGCAACCAGTCACAGGGATCATGTGATTGGGAAGCCATCTCTATTTCCTGGTATCTATGCTCGTATAAAAGACTGCTAGGGGGTGTCGGAAAAGGGCTAATGCATACATGAGATTGTAAAGTTTGTATCTACTTTAATTAGTGCCCTCCCAAATTGACATAAGTTATGAGTATAGCAGATATATTAGATTGCTAGCTCTTAGAGACAGAATAGCAACCAAAAATCCAGAAAAAAATACACACAAATGTTATAAATTGAGTTGCAGTTCAGTGAGTAAAATAAGTATCTGATCCCCTACCAACCAACAATAATTCTGGCTCCCACAGACTGGCAATGGGCTCATGTGGTCTACAGATTAGTCCTGTCAATTTAGGAAGATGCTCCTAATGACAACTCATTATGTGTATAAAAGACAGCTGTCCACAGAATTTCTTTCTTCCATTCACCATCATAGGCGAGACCAAAGAACTGTCAAAGGACATCAGGGACAAGATGGTAGACCTGCACAAGGCTAGAATGGGCTACAAGATCATCAGCAAGAAGCTTGGTGAGGAGGAGACAACTGTTGGAGTGATTATTCGCAAATGGAAGAAATACAAAATAACCATCAATGGCCCTCAGTCTGGAGCTCCATGCAAGATTTCGCCTCATGGGGTAAGGATAATCATGAGAAAAGTGAGGGATCAGCCCAGAACTACATGGGAGGAGCTTGTGAATGATCTCAAGGCAGTTGGGGCCACAGTCACCAAACAAACCATTGGTAACACAATACGTTGCCATGGATTGAAATCCTGCAGCTCCTGCAAGGTCCCCCTCATCAAGAAGGCACATGTACAGGCCCGTCTGAAGTTTACCAATGAACATCTAAATGATTCAGAGAAGGATTGGGAGAAAGTGCTGTGGTCAGATGAGACCAAAATTGAGCTCTTTGGCATTAACTCGACTCGCTGTGTTTGGAAGAAGAAAAATGCTGACTATGACCCTAAGAACACCATCCCTACAGTCAGGCACGGAGGTGGAAACATTATGCATTGGGGCTGTTTCACTGCTAAAGGTACAGGCCAACTTTGCCGCATTGAGGGGCCAATGGACAGGGCCATGAATTGTAAAATCTTGAATGAGAACCTTCTCCCCTCAGCCAGAACACTGAAGATGGGTCGTGGATGGGTCTTCCAGCATGACAATGACCTAAAACATACCGCCAAGGCAACAAAGGAGTGGCTCAAGAAGAAGCACATTAAGATCATGGAGTGGCCTAGCCAGTCTGCAGATCTTAATCTAGAGACTGGCTAGGCCACTGGAGGGAGCTGAAACTTTGAGTTGCCAATCAACAGTCAAGAAACCTTCAGGATTTGGAGAAGATCTGTATAGAAGAGTGGACCAAAATCCCTCCTGAGCTGTGTGCAAACCTGGTAACCAACTACAAGAAACCTCTTACCTTTGTGCTTGCCAGCAAGGGTTTCTCCACCATGTACTCAGTCATGTTTTTCTTGGGGATCAAATACTTATTATACTCACTGAACTGTAACTCAGTTTATAACATTTGTATCGTGTTTTTTTTTTTTTTTTTTGTTTTTTGTTTTTTTTTTTCTGCATTTTTGGTTAATATTCTCATATACCTATAATACAAGTTATAAACCCTTCATTTCTTTCTAAGTGGGCAAACTTACAAAATATGCAGGGGATCAAATAATTATTTTCCCAACTGTACATCTGAAAAATAAAAATTGTAGGGGAGTGCAAATGGTAAATTGAAGTATATAACATGATTATAACCTGAGTTATGATAAAGGTGCTGATAATTTTTCTTCTTTATTTCAAGATTATGTTTCGGTCCTCAGAATCACAGAAGGATGGGGATGAGGGACCTGTATACGTGCGTGAGAAGGGTCGGCTGTACCTGGCAGGTTTGCAGCCCTCAAATGTGAAGTCTTGTCCCCCTCGCCTCTTCTCCAAAGGTTTTTCTGTGGAGCTGTGTGTCAAGGAAGAAGATAACTGTAAACCCAAAGAAAAGCCATTTATCTTCACATACACAGAGGAGGGCAGCTTGCGTTATTCTGCCAAGTCTCTCTTCACCTTGGCTCTGGATCTCATTGCTGATAACATTCAGTATGTCGACTCCTTGCTGGGTTTTCCTGAACAGATTGCAGAGAGGCTGTTCACTGCTGCAGAATCCAGGCAACAGTTCTCCAAACCACACAGCGGCCTTGTGGCCCTTTGCAAATTTACTGAGGCCTATGGGGGCCTGATGCTGTCTTCACTGTGTCTGCGGGGCAAGTATGTCTTCCTTTGGGGTGTATTTATAGCTTTAAATGAGTTTGTGTTTTGGAGTGTTATACTGTATTGACCTCTACTTTATATATTTTATTAGAAAGCTTCTATATCTGTGACCTTCACTTTTATCAATATTCAAAGGAAATCTATGGCCACAGCATACACTTTCATTTTATAACATCAGCAATGTAATAACAGCACTAATAACAATACAAACAATAGTTATTCTTGACAATCCAATATAAGCTTCCTTGAAACATCTGCTTTCATTATGAGTGCTGCCTGTCTGCTGGCCGTCTCTTTCCACAACTCCCTGGATTCTCTGAATGCTTTGCAGCTATTCGTCTACTTTTTTATATTCCACTTCTAAGGACTACATATCCCATGGTACATTGCTGCCTGCAAGCAGTGATTCCTGTACTGACTCAGTCTCCTGAAACTCCTCCTCTCATCTCCTCCTGTAGTTCAGAAGGCAGGCTTTATGAAATGTGTGACACAGCAGTGCCTACTCATAGAGCATAGTGACTACGTGTCACAGAATTCAAAAAGTAAATGTGTGGGGATCTTCATAAAGTAAGTTTACAAACGTCAACGTTGTTCAGATTAATAGGAGTAGACTAGAAATAATTGAAATACAATGAAGAAATGTATATATGATTTACATTTTGACCATATATATGCTTTACAGCAGTACAGGCTCCTCTCCTGCACTGAAATTATTTACTCTGATTTCACTGCACACTGTGAGCTTCAAATAATATTCATTGGAAGCTGGAGCACATCCTTTAGAGACCTCCTCATTTTGGGGTTAAAGGAAATCTAGAATCAGCTAGCCCCTACCTTCCCAGGTTTACGTCCCTGGTCGACCCCTTTTATTCATTGGATTTTAGTTATTTCAATTATAGAGGAACAGCATCACATGTGGGCATCATCTAAGGAATCTGCTTCCAGATGCACCCTGCGTTTCAAAGGAAAAAAAAAAAAAGAAACCCACATATCCAGAATGACATCCACCCATATTTAAATGTAATTTTTAGAGAGTTTTCAAAAGTCATTAAAAAAATATAGCTTGACTTTACAGACGGCTAAAGAATGCAACACTTTGAATTTAACTCACTTAAGGCCTTACTTCGTATGAGCAGAAATGTGACAGGTGGGAACACATACCATATACTATAGAACATCACAACTTCTTGCAGTCATTGTAAACATCATAGCATACATGTCATATATTACATTTACCAATATTCTCACCCATCGAGGCATTTTGATAATTTTCGTTAGCAAGTCCATAACAGGTGGAGGGGGATTTGGGGAGGAAGAACCAAGGAATGTAAAATATAAGCAAACTAAACTCCAGCTGAGTTATATCAGATATGATGGGACACAAAGGGCCAGGGACTCTATGATGAATCACTTCTGTGACTCCAGTCTTGTTCATTATAAATTCTATTCCATACGCACTGGGGTTGACTTACTAAAGGCAAATAGACTGTGTACTTTGCAAGTGCAGTTGCTCCAGAGCTCTGTTAATAAGTTAAAACTTCACTTTACAAAGAATACCCAATTACATGCAAGGAAAATAGAAAGGACAGCATTTTTGCTATCACGTGATGGAAGGCAGCAGAGTTCCCCTTCATTTACTAAACTCTGGAGCAACTGCACTTGCCAAATGACCTGTTTGTTTGCCTTTAGTACATCAACCTCATTGGGTCTAGCTCTTCTTCATCCATGGTACTAGCCCTCCATACAAATATGTCATATTATTCAGCAGAGTAAAATCCACTTTTCAAATGAGGATCCCATTATTACTTGTCTTGGTTTTTTTTGTTTTTTTTCTTCTTTATGCATTCTTCAATCTTTATGTATAAGAATCTAATGGGTTAATTAATTTTGATGTGTACAGGTACCTTCTAGTGTCTGAGAAGCTGGAAGAGATTAAGTCATTTCGAGATCTATGCAGTTTGGACTTGTCATGTTGTAAATTAGGGGATGATCATGAATTGCTGCAACATATTGCCTCTGACACCCTGAACAGGTATGCAGACATGAGTACGGCACTACTTAAATGAGAATTCCAGCCAGGACTAAGAGTCAGTGAACTTTAGGTTATGTACCCTTGGTATTTCATTGTTTTACATAGGATATCCAGAAGTCCCTGTACTCAACATCATCAGTTCCATTTTCCAGCACTAAATACACTCATCATTATGTGTGTATGTTGGGGCTAGTGTTGTCCTAAAACCACTGATATTGTATTCCATGAAGCTGTCTGCTGCTATATTAGTCTGATAATATTCATTATGTAAAAAGGGGTGTCTGAGACACCAACAATTGATTTTCAATCTTGGGACTGCTTTGTTTTAGTGCAAGGACAGGGCACCTTTGGTGAAGAAATGGCCTATTTTGGCAAAGAGAAGTTAAATACTGATTCTAAGGAGTTGGTGTAGTATTAGTGGTTAAAGCCCAACTCGAGTCAATTTAAAAAGTCTTTACATGTAAAGCCACAGGATTACCTTGAGCAAAACGTGTGGTTGATACTTACTTAATATTTTTAGCTTGTCTTCTAAAATTACAACTTCTTTATGTCACTTAAAGTATAAGTCCAGTCAAATTCTAACTAATCCCAAACCTACTCCCACCCCCATTCTAAGACTATTGTATCTACCCTGTAAAGAAAAGATGTCTATACTTACCTATTCTGAGGCCTCTCTGGTTCGGTCACATGATCAGGACCCAGAGCCGGCTTCAGTGTAGAGGAGAAGCAGCGACAAGGACTGTAGTGCTTGGGAGATGACACCATTCATAGGCTTACTATTGGGCATCTGTTGTTGGCTGTCCGTCCTCTACACTGAAGTCACTGCTGGGACCCGATCTTGTTACTGGAGCAGCCGGCTTACGATGGCCAGCTTTTATTTAGGTAAAACCTTTATTCCAGTAACTGCTTAACCACTTCCAGTCCGGACACTTTTACCCCCTTCCTGACCAGGGCAATTTTCAGCTTTCAGCGCTATCACACTTTGAATGACAATTGCACGCTCATGCAACACTGTACCCATATGAATTTTTTACCATTTTTTTGAGACCGATAAAACTTTATTTTGGTGGTATTTATTCACCGCTGGGATTTTTAGTTTTTTTGCTGTGTAAATGAAAATGTCCAAAAATTTTGAAAAAAAGTGTTTTTCTTATAAAATTTTGCAAATAATATTTCATCATAAATCCTGGCCAAAATTTATTCCGTTATCTTTTTAGTAAAAAAAAAAAAAAAGCCAAATTAGTTTATAACCAAAAATTTAAATTTTTAAACTTCTTTTTTTTTTACATTTTTTATTTTTTTTATATTATTTGTTTTATTTTAATTTTTTTTTTACATACTGTCACCCTAGCAGTACAGTGACACTGTACTACTTTTGGGGGATGATGTAGATTTTTTTTTTTACACTGATTGCTTTTTACACTCCATATAGGATGTAAAAGCAATGATTTCTTTTTCTCTCTGTCTGCATTCTTGCAGCCATTGAGAAATACTGAGTGAACTGTGATTGGTCACAGCTTGTCACATGGTACAAGGCTGTTGTGAATAGCCTTGTACCATGTGACCTCTGTGATCATTCACATATCATTCACATATTTCACACGTAGTAAGCAATGATGTCACAAGTGAAATCTTGCTTATTACTTTGCATGCGATCACTGATTGGCCTCTGTATGAGGTCCCGTCCGACGATCGGTGTTTCACTGTGGCTGGAGGACACAGCGGGCACCGGATCGCGGTGCTGCGCACTCCCGGGGAGCGTGCACAAGCAGGGTGCGGGGAGGCCGTTTATAAATGGCCACCCAACCCTGCAGTGCTACCGTCCGGCCGTTTATATACAACGGCTGGTCAGGAAGTGGTTAAAAAATAATAACTGGCGTTTGGTTTCAATTTATTAGTGTATCCAAATCTGCTGGTACATCTAATACTCCCCTCCTCCCAAGACTGACAGTGCTGCTGTCCAAAGTTGCTCCTGTCCTCCTTCATCAAGAGTTGAGGCACTCTAAAAAACTGGAGGTGTGTTGCTAGCTAGATCATCAGGTGAAAATAGTCTAAAAAATAGAAAACTAATGCTGCCACCACATCTAATAATTAGCTGCATTTTTGGTTTAGGTGTAAAACCACTTTAAGGTGTGGGTAGGTTTACTCAGGAGTTACATTTTTATTTTTTTGAAAGAAGGAAAGGGTCAGGTCTTGGGGTCCAGCTAAATGTATATATGTATGTATGTATATTTGTAAAGGTGCTATTGACATTGCATTTTCACCACATGACAGTAACAACCCATGCAATCCATACATACAAAGAAACCAAACAAATACATTCAGAAATTAAGTTTTATGTGTAATATATAATGGAATGGCACAGGGAAAAAGTATTGAACACGCTAACTGAAATTTATTTAACCACTTGCCCTCCAGAAGATTTACCCCCCCCCCCCCCCCCCCCCACCCCCCTTCCCGATCAGGTCATTTTTTTGTGCTACAGCGCTGCGTAACTGTAACTGATAATTGCAGTCATGCAACTCTGCACCGAAATGAAATTTTGTCCTTTTTTTTTTTTTTTTTCCCCCCCCACAAATAGAGCTTTCTTTCGGTGGTATTTGATCACCTCTGCATTTTTGTTTTTTTTTTTTTATTTTTTGCGCTATAAACAAAAAAATTTTGACAATTTTGAAAAAAAAACCAATATTTTTGACTTTTAGTTATAAAACATATCCAGTAAAAAAAATTTTACAAATCTAATTTCGTCATAAATTTAGTTCAAAATGTATTCTGCTACATGTCTTAAAAAAAATCCCAATATGTGTAAAAAAAAATTGGTTGACATGAACATTATAGCATCTACAAATGGCGGTATATATACTGGATTTTTTTTTAAAATTCATTTTATACTAGTAATGGCGGCGTTCAGCGACCTATAGTGGGACAGCGGCGCACATTTTGACACTGGGGGGAGGGGGAACTGATTAACTGCCACTGACATCCCAATGACACTAACAGTGATCAGTGCTAATAAAAAGCCCTGACACTGTACTAATGGCACTGGGCAGGAAGTGGTAAACATCTGGGGCGATCAAAGGGCTAACTGTGTGCAATTTTTTTATTTTTTTTTTTTTTTTGTGTGTGTTTTACTAGGGAACCATGCTGCTTTGTATTGCTCTGCTATGCAGAGCAACAGCTGAGGCACTCTAAAACTGGAGGTGTGTAATGCATAGTATTGCTACAAAGCAGCATGTGGTGCTGACAGGGGAGAGATCTGTGTTGTTTACATACAGACTTTTCCCCTGTCAATGTTCCTTGGTGATCACCGGGTGCCGGCGGGGAATCTCCATCCGGGACCCGGTGACCTACATCTGTAGCCCCGAATGGCGGCACGCGCCCCCTACCCGGAAATGCAAAATTATGTGTATACAGTATACGTGACTTTGCTCAGCCCTGCTGCCGTAGTTCTTCTGTAGGGTGGCGGGGAACCGGTTAATACCTCGTACAAAATCCTATGTTGGTAATAGCTTCAAGACACCTCATGTATGGGGAACTAGTCGCATGCATTGCTTAGGTGTGGTTTTGGCCAATTCTTCCACACAAACAGTCTTCAAATCTTGAAGTGATCTTCAGTTCTTTCCAATAGATTTTCTATTTGATTCAAGTTAGGTGATTGGCGGGGCCATTCTAGCAGCTTTATTTTCTTTCTTTGAAACCAGTTGAGAGATTTCTTTGTGTTTGGGATCATTGTCTTGCTGAACTGTCCACGCTTGTTTCATCTTCAATCCTGGTAGATTGCATCAGATTTTTATAAAGAATGTCTCCGTACATTTTTCCATTCATCCTTCCTTCAATGACATGACGTTTGCCAGTACCGTATGCTGAAAAACAGCCCCACACCATGATGTTCCCACCTCCATGCTTCACTGTTGGTATGGTGTTTGGGGTAATGTGCAGTGCCATTTGACCTCCAAACATGGCGTGTATTATGGCATCCAAAGAGTTCAATTTTGTTCTCATCTGACCAGACTACTATTCTCCCAGTATTTTGCAGGCTTTTCTAAATGTTGTGCAGCAAATTTTAAATGCGCTTCAACATGCTTTTTCTTCAGCAATGGAGTCGTGCGCAGTGAGTGTGCATACAGACCGTGGCGGTTGAGTGCATTACTTATTTTCTTTTAAATAATAAATAACCTGCTAATTCCAGGTCTTTCTGAAGCTCTTCACAAGTGGTCCTTGGCTCTTGGACAACTCTTCTGAGCATTCTTTTCACTTTCACTCTATCAGAAATCTTGTGAGGAGCACCTGGTCGTGGCCAGTTTATGATGAAATTTATGTTCTTTCTACTTCTGGATTATGGTTCCAACAGTGCTCACTGGAACATTCAGAAGTTTAGAAATCCTTCTGTAACCAATGCCATCAGTATGTTTTGCAACAATAAGGTTGAGAAGGTCTTGAGAGACTTCTTTGCTTTTACCCATCTCGAGATTTTTCTTGTGTGACACCTTGGTAATGATGACCTTTTATAGGTCATCAGTTGACACTGAACCAGCTGATATTAGTTTGCACTGACAAGGGGCAGGATTGCTTTCTAATTACTGATAGATTTTAGCTGATGTCTTGGCTTTCAATGCCTGTTTGCACCTCCCTTTCTTCATGTGTTCAATACTTTCTCCCTGTGTCATTCCATTTTATTACATATAACTTAATTTCTGAACTTATTTGTTTTGGTTTCTTTGTATGTGTGGGTTGTTACTGTCATGTGGTGAAACTTTCATGTCAATACCACCTTTAGAAATATATTTACTGAGAAATATGGTGACGTGTTTTACCCACTGTATATAGAAAAAATGTTTTGTTTTGTTTCAGATCCTATCTTCTTGAGTTACCTTTGTTTTCTATGCATATAACGTACATTATAATACGTGGCTTGTTTTGCTCTCTGTGCAGCTTGAGAAATCTATACTTAAAGGATAATTGCCTGTCTGATGTTGGGATTAGGAAAATGACAGCTCCAGTGAGGATCCTACACAGAGGACTGGGAAGCCTAACATTGATGGATCTTTCTTGTGAGGCTGTATTCTTAGACTTTGTATCTTTTTTATTTGTTTCTTTATGGCAACATGTACATTGCCAACAGCAATTCTCCTTACTTACACGACTACCTAATTATTTTAATTCCTTGACTACATTTAAAGGAAACCACTACTGTGAGAAATACGGAGGCTGCCACTGCAATCCTCTTCTTCTGGAAATTCTAGTTGCCTGGCTATTGTGCTGTTCTGTTGGCTTTAATGCTTTGAGTCACTGAGCCAAGATAGGTGTGGTGATCAGGAGTTATTTTAAGTGACTTCACTAGTTACATGCTTGTTGGGTCAGTGGCTCAGTAAATATAGAAGCCGGAGACAGCCAAGAAGTTAACATTTTCAGAAAGAGGTTTACAGTAACAGCCCCTGTTTTTGTTCATATTTCCATTCTAGGTAACCCAGGACTCACAGACGTGGGGCTCAAATTCCTGTATGTTTTTAAACAGCTCCAGTTCTTGGACATATCTGATACAGGTGTGCAGGTAAGTGTTTTATTATCAACTTCAGTCCCAGAGCACTCTTCCCCACACAAGGCCAGAGTGCTTTGGAGATATATTGGAGATGTTTCTTTTACACCCTGGAACTGTAGAAACACTCAAGGAGAAATGCGTATCTAAAATAGACCGCACCAGATTTGAACAAATCATTTATCAATACTTTAATAAATATATACAGAAAATGTGTACAAAGAGCTATATTCTTTCTAAGACATTTTACTGTACATAAAGGCATTAAAACACCATGGTGTTGCATGCTTCCCCTACCTATAAAGGTGTGTGTATGTGTGTAATAGATACAGTATATATAACTCTTAACAACCACATCTGAATAAAGTTGGAAAAATAAGATGCTCTCCTAGACAGACAGACATATATATATATATATATAATGTATATATGTATGTATGTGTGTGCACATAAAGTTAACCCAACAAACAGATGCCTATGGGCTGCCTGCATTTACACCCACATGAACTTTAATGGCATCCCAGTCTTAGTCCGTAGGGTTCAATATTGAGTTGGCCCCGCCCTTTACAGCTATAACAGCTTCAACTCTTCTGGGAAGGCTGCCCACAAGGTTTAGGAGGGTGTCTATGGGAAGGTTTGACCATTCTTTCAGAAGCACATTTGTGAGGTCAGGCACTGATGGAGGATGAGAAGGCCTAGCTCATAGTCTCCACTCCTAATTCATCCCAAAGGTGTTCTATCGGGTTGAGGTCAGGAATCTGTGCAGACCAGTCAAGTTCCTCCACCCCAAACTCGCTGATCCATGTCTTTATGGACCTTGGTTTGTGCAGTCATGTTGGAACAGCAAGGGGCCATCCCAAACTGTTCCCACAAAGTTGAGAGCATGAAATTGTCCAAAATGTCTTGGTATGCTGACGCCTTAAAAGTTCCCTTCACTGGAACTAAGGGGCCAACCCCTGAAAAACAACCCCACATCACAATCCCAGTTGCTTCCATTGTGTTATAATACCGCTAACCGTTGACTGTGAATTACTTAGTAGCGAGGAAATGTCACGGATGCACCTTTTGCACAGGCGGGCAACCTATCCACGCTGAGCTCCTGAGAGCGACCCATTATTTCACAAATGTTTGTAGAAATAGTCTGCATGCCTAGGTGCTTGATTTTATACACCTGTGGCTGTGGAGATGATTAGAGCACCTGAATCCAATGATTAGAGGGATATCTCAATACTTTTGGCACTATATTGTATCTTTACCTTGACCAATCTTGTGATCTTAACCACTTGCCTACAGGGCACTTATACCCCCTTCCTGCCCAGGCCAGTTTTTAGCTTTCAGCGCTGTCACACTTTGAATGACAATTGTGTGGTCATGCAACACTGTACCCATATGAACTTTTTTATCATTTGTTTGAGACCGATTTCTTTTGGTGGTATTTAATCGCCTCCTGGGTTTTTTTTTTTTATTGCTAAACAAACAAAAAACAACTGATGTTGAAAAAAAAATATTTTTTTCTTAGTTTTTGTTATATAATTTTGTAAATAAGTGATTTTTCTCCTTCACTGATGTGCGTTAATGAGGCTGCAGTGATGGGCATTGACAGGCATCACTGATGGGCACTGTTAGGCGGCACTGACTGGCACTGATTGGCAACACTGATAGTAGGTGGCACTGACAGGTGGCACTGAAAGGCAGCTCAGATGGGCACTGATGTGGCATTGATGTGCTCTGGTAGGCACTGATATGTGGCATTGAGGCATTGATGGGCACTGGCAGGTGGCATTGATGGGCACTGGCAGGTGGCATTGATGGGGCTACACTGATCATCAGTGTAGATGTCCCCTCTGAGGAATGCCGATTACCAGCTCTCTTCTCCTCTGTCAGCGTGACAGCTCGTGAGGAGAGAAATGCCCATAACCAGCATTTCCCTATTTACATGCGATCCGCCGTGATTGGACACAGCTGATCACATGACTGAGCCGACATCTCTGGCTCTTTCCATTGATTGGTGATCCGCTGTGTCCCAGGGACACAGTGCACCACTGATCGCCACGCTCCCTTTGCCGCGCATGCGCAGTTAGAGTGGGAGGACGTCATAAGACGTCCTCCCAGAACGAGAGAACCGCCTTGTGCCCGTCATTACCTTATACGGTGGGCGGGAGGCGGTTAAACAGTAAAAATGAGTATCCAAGGTATAACCAAAATCTTTTAGTATGAGTACTAATATTTAGTTGCATTGAGGAAGGACAATGGTATACACCACTATTAATGTATCCAAACATTAATTTTTTGGTGGCCCCCAAAAAAGACTATTCAATATGAAAAGGGTTCTGTATTAATACAGTTCCACATAGACTACAAACTTTGGGCATAGTTCAAAAGTCAGGATCCACCCAGTTAAGCTTGTATTTCTACAGTTGAAATAGATTTATTGAATCACAAGGTGTAATACTGTTCCATAAAAAGAGGTGAAAGTTCTCCCCCTCCACAAGATGGCTTCCTCATCAGTGTAAATTATCAAGGTCAGGGTTTCTCAACCAGGGTTCCTTCAGAGGTTGCCAGGGCTTCCTCAGGCAATAAGTGATTTCTGGCTTTCAGATGAGTAACCACTGACACCAATGATCTTCTAGCTATCTGTAAAGGGGGAATTCTTTCCAATGACCACAAATGTAAAGAGCATTCTTTCCACGGACCATTACACTAATGTACTGTCAGCTGTAAATACAATAATTATTAGCAGGGGTTCCCTCAAGCCATAAAGTTTTTCAAGGTTTCCTCCATGATTCAAAAGGTTGAGGAAGGCTGATCTAGATGATGGTAGTGTAGGTTGTAGCTCATAAAACCTAGCAGCAATATCAAGATAATCTGTTCTTATATAATGGAGGAAGATGACCTGTCCTTTCACTTCATAGATGTAAAGCAATCCTTTAGCGTGATATTGCTTCTATATATTATATTGTAAAGCGCTGAGCAAACTGTTGACGCTATATAAATCCTGTATAATAATAATACATTGTATGGTGGACAAAAGTGTTAGTATCTTTGCTAAACCAGCATCAAAACTAGTTAGGTGAATAACAGAAAAAGAGAGAAGTCCGGCACCAACCCAGTTTGAAATAAAATCATGTATAGTTTATTAACGTGGAACTGCACTGCATCTGGGTATCACAAACCAAAAATACTATTTAAGCATTTTTAATATTCAAAGCAAACTCCCCCATCCATCCATGTCTCAATGCTTTATTTTGTTGAGAAATTATTTTGAAAAACATCCCCTGTCATTTCTGGCAGTGACCATCTTAAAGTGTTACGAAACCCAGGACCCTGCACATTCACTATATCCGTTTTCCCACAGAAAATGGAAATGCAATTATTTTAGTAAATATAAACTGCTAAATACCTTTTTTCATCAGCAGTTAAGAGCAGTCTTGTGACTTCTATCAGTGTCCAGCAGAGCACGTTAAAACTTGTAGGAGGAGTTTTCATTCTGCTCTAGGAGGATGCAGAACCCCTGAGCTCTGTCTGGACCGAGATGATTGGCCCTGTGCTGATCACATGCACTCTACGAAGGGTGAAAAAAAACTCCTCCCTAGCCATACACACCAAACTGAGCATGTGCAGAATGACTCCACACAATACTTCTTATCAGGAGATAAGAGGGGGACACTGGAGACAGGATCGAACAGCCTTTTTACACAATGCAGAGGATTAACCCCTTAGGTTCCACAGTGAGTATAACCAGCAAGCTTTACTGCATAAACAGACTGATTTTACTGTTGTGGGTTTAGTAACACTTTAAGGGCAGGTGATTCATGCATCACTTGCATCCTGGAATCCATCTGCTCTTAGCTCAGGCACAGGCTGAGCCCTCCCTTCCTGAAGACTCCTTGGATGTATAACCATTTGCATAGGCATGGAAACCAGGAAGTAACTGAAGAAATGTAAAAAAAAAAAAGTTTAAAACAAGTAAATTTGATATACTTTCCTATCTATATACTAATGCTAGCAGCATAAGTATTAAAAATAGTCCATGTTGATTGAGAGAGTGAAGTTCCACTTTAGTGTTCCATCAAGATATAAAAGAATCCATTATACAGCAAGATTGACGTGTTTCAGCCCTAACCTCTGGACCTTAGTCATAGGTGAATAATGCTCCCATTTTTCTTAGGATGGATCTTTGTATGAAATAAATGAAAAGAAAAAAAAAGAATATATATATTCTCTGTATATAGAATTACAGTCTCAAGATTTGGGCATAGTGGAGTTCTGTATCCCAAAAGAAAAAGTTCTACCAGTTGGAGCTTTCTATTCGAGTTGGTCAGTTTTTGCTTTCTATTGTGGTACCTTGTGTGCCCACATACCATTGATCTAGGATAAAGTATGTGGTTCTAATCTGTATGTTACAATGAAGAAACCTGAATTATATGATCTCGGTTTTGTTTCTTTGTCAATAGGATTCCATTGTCACCCGTAAGACGATAGAAGAAAGGATGGGACTGCGCCTTGCCCTAAAACCCCTCTCTCAGTTTAATCACATAGACTGCAGGACTCAAGGCTGGGCTGAGCAGGTAGCTATAATCTATACTGCTTTCTTACAGTATTATCCACGGAAAACTGACTGTTAAGTATAATTTTCATGTACCTCTCCCTTTGTTTACCTGGCAAACAAACAGAGGAAAGGTTACAGCAGTGGAAACATAAAGATAGAAAATCATTACAGATTTGAAACGCGCAAAGGCTGTTGATACAGTGCACTAAAAATAAACACAGAATTAGAGACCATAAGCAGCATTGAATACATTTGCTATAGTTTATGATGCCGAATAAAATTAAAGATTCTGCTAAATCAAATTGTAGTACCTGTACCACCACCTACAGCAGCTTTTCTCCACCTTTAACAGAGAAACCCTTGAAGTTAAATTTCAGCTTTCACGGAACCCCTGCTAATAATTACTAATAGAATTTACAGCTCACAGTACATTAGTGTGGTGGTCAGTAGGAGGAATACTTCTTACATCAGTGGTTAGTGGAAAGAATGTCCCCTACATTGGTGGTTAGTGGAAAGAATGTCCCCTTACATTGGTGGTCGGTGGGGAGATTGCTCTTTACTTTGATGGTTAGTGGAAATAATGTCTCTTTACATTGGTGTT